TAGGATGTGATAGATAAAAATCAAGGGGGAGGAAGATTCTAGGCAGAAAAATCAGCTTGCAGAAAGACAGGAGGTGGAGACATCCAGACACATTTAAAACAGAGTTGAGCAGCTTGATTAGTGTGTATCCTCTCCATAGATTGATCTGCCTCTGAGTGCTGGGGTCTGGAGGATGCAGGGTGGGGCTTTAGGGCAAAGATGAATTAGGAGACTATATTCATTCTGGCCAGAGGCGTGAGATGGTGTGTGAGGCTGGCACAGGAGGCATAGAGTGGGAATGAAAAATGTACTGACCTTGACAATGGAGTATATAGGGGTGAATGTAATCAAAGAAGAACATTACAGTTTAAGAGCCTATGAGGCCAGGCACGGTGCCTTACGCCTGTAATCACAGCACTTTGGGAGGCCGAGTTGGGTGGATCATGAGGTCAGGAGTTCAAGACCAGCCTGGCCAACATAGTGAAACCCATCTCTACTAAAAATACAAAAAGTAACCAGTGTGGTGGCACACGCCTGTAGTCCCAGCTACTCAGGAGGCTGAGGTGGGAGAATCACTTGAACCCGGGAGGCGGAGGTTGCGTTGAGCCGAGACTGCACCATTGCACTCCAACTGGGTGACAAGGTAAGACTCCATCTCAAAGAAAAAAAAGAGTCTATGAAAAGCTATGGCACCTTTAACAGAAATAGGAACACTTAGAGGCATGTTAGAAGAGGCACACTGGGGCTGAGCGTGGTGGCATGGGCCTGTAGTCCTAGCTACTTGGGAAGCTGAGGAGGGAGGATTGCTTGAGTGCAGGAGTTCAAGGCTGCAGTGAGCTAGGATCGCACCACTGCACTCCAGCCTGGGTGACAGAGCAAGACCCCAACTCAAAAAAAAAAAGGGGACATTGGGAATTGAGTTTGGGACATGCTGGCTTGAGGGAACAGGGCCTTGGAATGTAGGCTGTTAGAGACGGGATCAGAGGCATAGCTAGAGACAACAGATGTTTGAACTCAGTCATACAAAAGTCACGATTGAAGCTACAGAAGCAAGCGTGTTTTCTGAGGAAGAGTGTAGGCTGGGTGCAGTGGCTCACAGCTGTAATCCCAGCACTTTGGGAGGCCGAGACAGGAGGATCACTTGAGGCCAGGAGTTTGGGGCTGCAGTGAGCCACGATTGTGCCGCTGCATTCCAGCCTGGGTGACACAGAGAGATGCTGTCTCTTAAAAAATACAGAAAATCATAAGGAAGAGGAAACAAATTTTCTACTCATGTAGTGGAAGTGGATCATCATCAGGGTCTTCATCCTTATCTGTTCATGTTGAGTCAGTGGAGGAGGAAGAGGAGGGAGAAGAAGGGTTGGTCTTGCTGTCTCAAGGGTGGCAGTGGAGGAAAAGCCATGCCTAAGTGCGCTGCACGGTTCAGTCCGTATTGCTCAAGGGTCAACAGTGTTTCAGACAGCACCCACGACACGAGGAATCATCTGGAAAACGTAAGTGGCCAGACAGTGGGTTCCCCAGAGGCTGCTGCCTGGCATGTGTGTACAAACCAACAAGGGTCCAAAAACAATAGGGCCGTGACCAGCGGCTTCTGGATGTTTCCAACTAGCGCTCTTCACAAAAGCACAGTAGATAAAACAACAAAAGCAGGGCTGTTGAGAATCCGGAATGCAGACTTTTGGTAACTCCCAAAGGGCCCTGTCTTTGTCTGTCTCCACAGCCCCTCTGGCCCATAGCCTCCTGCCCGATTCCCCTATCACTGTGAGAACATGGGGCGGAGCACATGAGACCCGTAACACCTCCCTGTAAGGCAGAAGCTGCCCTGGAAGCGCCACAGGCATTATTTCTCTGTATTTCTCTGTCCCACTCCATGGCCCCGAGAGACTGACACGAACACCTCCAGCTCTCGAGAAGAGGAAGCTGCGGGGCTTGCTTGGTTAGGTGACTGGCTCAAGGTCACGTGCAGATTTCAGCTTCCTGATTTTGACCTCCTACACCAAGGGCTTTACAACAGGTTTCAGGAAGAGAAGAAATACTCCCGCACTGAATGCAGGGTTCCACAGTGCAAGGTGATCCTGACCGTGGAAACATGAAAACGTGAAGCAAAGAGTATGTCTTAGAATTGAAGGATAAGGGGGCTGGGCGTGGTGGCTCACACCTGTAATCCCACCACTTTGGAAGGCCGAGACGGGTGGATCATGAGGTCAGGAGCTGAAGATCAGCCTGGTCATCATAGTGAAACCATCTCTACTAAAAATGCAAAAATTAGCCAGGTGTGGTGGCACACACCTGTAGTCCCAGCTACTCAGGAGGCTGAGGCAGGAAAATCGCTTGAACCTGGGAGGCTGAGGTTGCAGTGAGCTGAGACTGCCATTGCACTCTAGCCTGAGTGACAGAGTGAGACTTTTTTCTAAAAAAAAAAAAAAAAAAAAAAAAAAAGGAAGGATAGGGCACTTAGTGGGAGGCCAGCGTGGCATTTTGAGGCTGGGGATGTTGGAGGGTGGGGCTGCCCCTCCCATGCCCACAGTCTGGTGGGGGAGAGGTTGGAGGTGTGGAGGGAACTGCAGGGCCTGTGACATGACTGAGGGACTATGCTCAGTGATCAGGGCCTAGAAAAGAATCTGTCCGTGGCAAATCATTAATGTTTCTTTTTGAAAAGCTGAGTGCCTCGTGACACATGAGGTTGAATCCCCAGGACTTCACAGCGCTCCCATCATCGCATGGATCTTGATAGCAGGGGGCGCTGTTCCCATCTCACTGCAGCCATGCTGGATGTCATGCTTTTTGGATGTCATGCTGGGGTGGTGGCTCCCCTCCTGCATGTCTGACTCGCCATCTCTCTGATGCGTGCACTTTGTCCCTCCTCCAGGGCATACCCATTCTTACTGTGGCACTTCCTGTCCCCCTGAGCTGCTTGCCTCGTCTCCATCCGCCTTCTCAGCACAGGCCTGATGAACAACCAGCCTGCAGTCCTTTCTCCCTCCCCAGGAAGATGTCATTCCCTTATGACATGTTCCCCACGAGCCAGGGCACTAGCAGCTGCTGCGCTAGAGCATTCATAGGACATAAAAGGGCAGCCCTTGATAGCCGATGTCTTGCTTTTTGGACTGATTCCTTCCTTCTTCCCTCCCTCCCTCTTAAACCTTCTTCATGGAGACCCGTCACCTACTGTGTGGATGGAGAGAGTGAAAATGGAGTCTTGGTTGGGTGCGGTGGCTCATGCCTGTAATCCCAGCACTTTGGGAGGCCAAGGTGGGTGGATCACGAAGTCAGGCGTTCAAGACTAGCTTGGCCAAGATGATGAAACCTCGTCTCTACTAAAAATATAAAAATTAGCCGGGTGTGGTGGCAGGCACCTGTAATCCCAGCTATTCAAGAGGCTGAGGCAGAGAATTGCTTGAACCTAGGAGGCAGAGGCTTCAGTGAGTCGAGATTGTGCCACTGCACTCCAGCCTGGGTGACTGAGTGAGACTCCATCTCAAAAAAAAAAAAAAAGGAAAAAAAATGGAGAGTCTCATCTTCCACAGGACTTTTCGTCTAGGGAGATGCAGTCATTGATCACGTGGTCACCCGTCTGTTTTGTTATAAACTATGATAAGTCTGTGAGGTTAAAATACAGGGGGCCAGGAGAGCAGAAGTCAGAGAAACTTGGCTGCGTGTGTACCCACGTGTGTGTGTGTACATGTGAGGAGGTAGCAGGAGGTCAGGGGTGTGTTTGCTGCAGTGCTGTTTCAGCTAAGATCTAGAGGATGAGCAGGGGCTGGGGAGACAAAGTTCTTTGATAGAACTGGGTTCTGAAAGTTATGTGAGAGATTTTGCCAGCAGGTGGTAACTTATTAATTACAAGACATAAAGTGCCATTCGGATTAGCCTGAGTAAGTGAGGGGTTATGTCACACTGGAATGTGAGGCAGGAAATAAAATTGCAGCTGGGCATGGGCCTGGCTGGGCTGGAACCAAGGTCTCTTTGGCCCATACCCCCTGCCCCGCCCTGTGTCTTTTTCTCTGTCTGCCTCTTTCTCTAGCCCCTCCCTCTCCCTGCCCCCCGACTCTTCATCAGTGTATGTCTGGAGCTGGGACTAGAATCCCAGTTTCCATGTCCCAGTCTTTCCGTAGATTTTACACAGGTCAGTCAGGAAGTGTGTAGCTCTGAGAAACCACAGGTGAAAAATGGCCAGTGAAGTAGAGTTTTGCACTTGTTGAACCTTGGGCAGTTGCTGTGGCAGATTTTTGAGACTGAGTCTCGCTGTGTCACTCAGGTTAGAGTGCAGTGGCGTGATCGGAGCTCACTGCAACCTCCGCCTTCCGGGCTCAAGTGATTCTCTTGCTTCAGCCTCCCGAGTAGCTGGGATTCTGGGTGTGTGCCATCATGCCTGGCTAATTTTTGTATTTTTCGTAGAGAGAGGGTTTCACCATGTTGGCCAGGCTGATCTCAAACTCCTGACCTCAAGCAATCCACCTGCCTCCCAAAGTATTGGGATTACAGACGTGACACACCGCAGCTGGCCTCTGGACCCCTCTTCAGTAATGACCTTTGGGGGGTCAAATGCATTATACAAATTCATCATCTCACCTAATCCCCACAAAAGACCTATAAGGTAGGTATTATGTAGTCTTATTTTCAAGTGATGAAACTGAGGCTCACAGAGGTTGCATTTTCGCCTGTTAATTCTAACAGTGTGGAGCTGTCAGAAGGCCGTAAAAGCCCGTCCCAAGCCATGCTCTCTGCTGTTCGCTGTGAGTAGGGAGCACTCACTCAGTGAGTGTCCACGCCAGCCAACGTGTGTGAGCTCCCAGTCCTCACAACTTCCCACAGATAGGGAAAGTGGTGTTCAGAGAGGTACAGGCTCATCCAGAGGCTCAATCTGGGGTCAGTTTGTAATTTGAATCTGGGAACATCTACTGCCAAAGTCCAAGCTCTTAACTTTGGTGTGTCTGCTTCTAGCGGCGCACCAAAACACATCCGTTTCCTTCTAGATTGATCTGGATGTGCAGCTGACAAGTTCCTCTCATCCTTTCCAGGTTGCCCCTCTACCTGGCCTCACTCTTCATCAGCCTTGTTTTCCTGTTGGTGAATTTAACCTGTGCCGTGCTGGTGAAGACGGGAACTTGGGAGAGGAAGGTTATCGTCTCTGTGCGAGTGGCCATTAATGACACGCTCTTCGTGCTGTGTGCCGTGTCTCTCTCCATCTGTCTCTACAAAATCTCTAAGATGTCCTTAGCCAACATTTACTTGGAGTCCAAGGTAGTTGGAAATGTGGTCGAGATCCCTCCCATGAAACGTGTTCTCAAAATGGTTTCCTGGTTTGCAAAAGTACATTTTGATGAATTTTAGACTTGATTTTTGCCTTGACTTTCTGTTTTATCATCTCCCACACAGGGGCTGCTCAAGGCTTTTATGACAGAACTGCAGTTTTTAATTGGAGGGGTTAAATCATAGGTTGTCAAAACACCACGGAGCTCGCCCCTACGGCACATGAGCCAACAAAGCACGACTGGCCAAAAAAAAAAAAAAATCCTGGATGTCGTTAATCACGGTTTAACACAATGATCAAAAGGCAGTTTTTGGTTTTTGGTCATGGTAACTATCTGTTTTGAGTTTTTTGTTTGTTTGTTTTTGGGACAGTTTTGCTGTTGTTGCCCAGGCTGGAGTGCAGTGGTGCAATCTCAGCTCACGACAACCTCTGCCTCTTGGGTTCAAGCGATTCTCCTGCCTCAGCCTCTTGAATAGCTGGGACTACAGGCATGCAGCACCACGCCTGGCTAATTTTGTATTTTTACTAGAGATGAGGTTTCTCCATGTTGGCCAGGTTAAGGTTGGTCTCAAACTCCGACCTCAGGTGATCCGCCCACCTTGGCTTCCGAAAGGGCTGGGATTACAGGCATGAGCCACCGCGCCCGGCCTGCGTTTTAGTTTTTCGGTCATGTTAATTATCTGTTTTAAGCCAGGGTCTTTTAACTTTCTGGACATTGATAGCTTCATAACGTGGGGCACAGACCACTGATTTCCACGTAATTCCAAGCCCACAGTCACATGAGGGCTCCCATATTCCCTGCCTCAAAGACTCTGGACAGAGCCGTCCAGAGCTCTGCCCCAGCCGTTGTCCCTCTGAGACTGTTAACTTGCCTCCTTGAGCCAGAGGCCCCGGCCCGGGCTCACCTGGTGCGTGTAGAAGCCAAGAAGGTCCTCTTGGAGCTGAGCAGTGGCCATTAGAGATTTGGCAAATAAGCCACCTGACTTTCCTGCTCGTATACGCTAGGCCTCGGGCAAACGGCGCATATTTTAACCCCGCTGAAGGCATCTCCAAACCGTGTCCCAGGGTCCATATGAAGATAACGTGAAATTGTAGGAAGGAGTGTGGATGAGATGAGGTTTGGAGTGGGTTTCAGGGCCTCAGGATGAAGGACTCTGATGGAAGACCCAACGAGACCACAGTGCCCCTGAGGTCCCAAAGGGCTTCCCAGACTCACAGGTGGGGGCTGGGGAAGGGCTGGTGTCTCGGACCTGGAGTGGCCCATACCTTCTGCTTCCTCTTTTCCAGGGCTCCTCCGTGTGTCAAGTGACTGCCGTCGGTGTCACCGTGATACTGCTTTACACCTCTCGGGCCTGCTACAACCTGTTCATCCTATCATTTTCTCAGAACAAGAGCGTCCATTCCTTTGATTACGACTGGTACAATGTATCAGACCAGGTGAGTGGGGGCGCGGAGGAGGTGTCATCCGACCCAGGACTGCAGTTGGCCCTTGGTGTCCTCAAGGCACTGGTTCTAGGACCCTAGAAAATACCAAAATCGAATGCTCAAGTATAAAATGGTGTAGTATCTGCACATAACCTACACATATCCTTCTGTATACTTCAATCTCTAGGTGACTTAATACCAAATACGACGCAAATGCTATGTAAACAGTTGTTATACATTGTTTGAAAATTTCTGTTATTATTATTATGTGAGAAGGAGTCTCTCCCAGGCGGAGTGCAGTGGCGCGATCTTGGCTCACTGCAACCTCTGCCTCCTGAGTTCAAGTGATTCTCCTGCCTCAACCTCCCAAGTAGCTGGGATTACAGATGCCAGCCACCACGCCCAGCTATTTTTGTATTTTTAGTAGAGACAGGGTTTCACTATGTTGACCAGGCTGGTCTGAAACTCCTGACCTCATGATCTGCCCACCTCAGCCTCCCAAAGTGCTGGGATTATAAGCGTGAGCCACCGTGCCTGGCTGAAATTTCTATTATTTTTAATTGTTATATTTTTTATTTTCAAATATTTTTGATCTGCGGTTGGTTGAGTCTGCAGATGTAGAACCCGCTGATATGGAGGGCCAACATATTTGCCTTTCAATGGTCCACATGGCAGAGAAGTGCAGATCACTTCCCTGTGGTATCCGAACCTCACCTGTCAGATGGTATCATAGCACCTGTCATGTTCCGTTTCACATGTCTTCTGAGAAAACCAGGAGATTACCTATATGTGTGTATATATCCACATATGGTGGACACACATACTTTTCACTCCTTTCCCCCTCTTAGGGCTCTTGTTAAGCAGTAATTTTTTTTTTTTTAAGACGGAGTTTCGCTCTTGTTGCCCAGGCTGGAGTGCAGTGGTGCAACCTCTGCTCACTGCAACCTCTGCTTCCTAGGTTTAAGCACTTTTCCTGCCTCAGCCTCCAGAGTAGCTGGGATTACAGGTGCCCACTACCACACCTGGCTAATTTTTTGTACGTTTAGTAGAGACGGGGTTTCGCCATGTTGGCCAGGCTGGTCTTGTACTCCTGTCTTGAGGTGATCCACCCGCCTCAGCCTCCCAAAGTGCTAGAATTACAGACATGAGCCACCATGCTGGCCAGTATACTTAATTTTTTAAAAGTGCTTCCTTATAAATATAAGATGGTATTATTAAAGGGTGACATTTGCAAAGATTAAGCAAATTGTATTCAGATTTCAGAAAATACACAGGACCATGAAGTTATGTGATTTTTTTTTTTTTTTTTTTTTTGCCATAGTCATCCTCAGGGAGAAAATGTTTTTTCAATGGAGCATGTACACAGGGGCATTTGAGAAAATCTAGAGGAAAGTGACTGAGGATATTAAAGCTTCAGTAAAAACTCACGGCACTAGTCACAATACACTACTCTTTCTAAAAATACATTCTATAAATTTATACGTCATAAAGCAAATGAACAAAGGTAATGAAATGTCATCTGGCATCCATGCTCAAAAAAATACATAAAACAATGAGAATGAACTACCATTCACTCATTTGACAGACAGCAGTTTGTTATGTTGGGCAGTGTGCAAAGTGCCAGGGATACGAAACTGAACAGACTCATTCCCTGCTCCGTGGGAGCTTTATGGTCCACTAAGGAAAAGAGACACACAGATTCGCCATTTATAAAGAAATATAACAAAGTAGAGGACATCTTATGCAAGCATTAAGGGCCCTGATTAGTGGTCAAACTGTACTGATTCATGCTAGGAGACTGGTATCAGAACTGTTTCTATAAAGTGACTAGCTCACAAGTCAGGGAAGAGACTTAAGTAACAAGGCAAGAAATATAACCTACAGATTGGTACAGGATCACTTGCAGCTTTAACGCTGATATTTTAAACTCTTCTCCAATTTCCTGGAAAACCTGAGCTATCTATTAGAAACTTCCCTGTTAGAAATTTATTAGATGGATTTGCAAAGGTTCCTTAGCTTTTCCTGGAAAAGTACTGAATACCTAACCATCTATAAGTCTGCTTCTAACATCTCAACGGTGCTCAAACCCTGAGCTGGATTTGGACAGTGGAAGAAAGAATAAAATGATTCTGATAAGCTAAACCTGTGAGGACAAGGTAAAATTATGTTATAATTAGAAAGGATTAAAACAACAGCAGCAGCACCACCACAAACACAGCATGGGAGGAAGCCGGATGAGGCACTGTGAAGGGTGTGCACTATTTTGAGGAAATCAAATATGTGAAAATCTAAACTTTAAACAGTGATTAGAGACAATCATGATACACAAAGAACTTGATTTTGTATTGTGGTAAAATATACGTAACATTTGCTATTTGAGCCATTTCTTCGTATCAGTTCAGCGGCATTAAGTACATTCAGGCTGTGCGACCGTCATCACCATCTCTAGAACTTTTTCATCCTCCTGAACTGAAACTCTGTATCCATTAAACAACAACGATTTGGTTTTAACAAACTTTGTTCAGTTTTTCTTTCAATTAAGAATTTATGGGTGCCCTGTCTGTGAAGGAGTAGCCATTCTTTATTTCTTTCCTTTCCTAATAAACTTGCTTTCACTTACAAACAAACAAAAAAATGTATGGGTGGGTGCGGTGGCCTGTAATCCAGCATTTTGGGAGGATCATTTGAGGCCAGCTGAGACCAGCCCTGGCAACATAGCAAGACCTCATCTCTACAAAAAATAAAAACTTAAAAAATTAGCCAGGCATATTGGTGCAGACTGGTAGTGCTGGCTGCTTGGGAGGATCACTTGAGCCCAGGAACTGAAGGCTGCGGTGAGCTGTGATCACACCACTGTACTCCAGCCTGGATGACAGAGCCAGATCCCGTCTCAAAAAAAAATAATAAAGAAAGAAAGAAAAAAATATATATAATTACAATGGATTTAAAATATGATGATTTTTTAAATTCTTCTATTTTTATGGGATATTTATGGTTATCTAGATCTGTGTGTTGCCACCAAAATAATCTAGGAGCAAGCAAAACAAATGACCACAGTTGTACATGTTGTTTGTGCAGAATCAAAAAAGAACACGTGATTGAGATGTAACATAGAGGAAGCATGGGAGTGATCTTTCCGAAAGTAGCATAAGTAGTTTTGGTCACCATGCTTTAAGTATGATGTTATAGAGAAGGCAAAAGGATTAAGTTTAAGTTATTGGGCCTTTTAAGGTACATTGTTTTTCTGAAACAGTGGCCTGATACAGTTGCCCAAACCCAATCTGTCCCTTCTGTCTATAGTGAAGAGAGAATTCTGCTCTACCAAGCCCTCTGGTCATCTCACTAGGCCTGACACCAAACACCTTAGGCTCTGAGGATTGGTTTTCTAGACAAGCTAGCATACAGCAGGCTTTAAAGGGTGAAAAACAGGATATGGTGTATGTGAGGAAAAGTTTGAAAGTTGATCTCTTTACCTAGGGATGAGACTATGGGGGTATCATGGATGCTGCTCTCAAGAATTTAGGAGGAGACAACATAACCTTCTCACTATTCAATTGTTGAAGAAAGTCAGCTTAGATTTAAGTGAGAGTGTTAATTTGGACTTAAGAGTTTTGGGGGCATGAAGTAATATATCTGAGGTTAGAAGTTTCTGTCTTTGAATATTTTGAAGAAGAGAATCCTTTATCCCATATGGTTTAAATAACCCATATCTGAGGTCCAGACCATTATTACTATTATCTGATTCCGATTTGCATATTTTAGGGGAATGTTCTATATTTTAATACTTCAAGTAGATATTAACATAGTATATTCTACAGTACATTCTAAAATATAGGGGAGCGAATTGTACTGTAGTATTAGAATTATCCTCTGTTCCCTTTGGAAAGAATCAGTCACATTTACTTTCTTTGCCCTTGGTCTAATGACTGTCCCTCTCTCTTTCCAACAGGCAGATCTGAAGAATCAGCTGGGAGATGCTGGATACGTATTATTTGGAGTGGTGCTTTTTGTTTGGGAACTCTTACCTACCACCTTAGTAGTTTATTTCTTCCGAGTTAGAACTCCTACAAAGGACCTTGTAAGTAAACCATTTTATATTTGCAAGAAAACATCTCCTAATTCTGATCATGAAACCTGCAGTTAGAGCTGTTTCTTCACTTTTCAGTAGATAAGAGGGCCTCTTCCATTCTGTGGTGATGTAAAAAGTTTCCTTGACTATTTTATTGAGTCATTCATTTCCCTTACCTTTTGAGGGAAAATGTTTTTAAGTTTATTTTACAGAGGAAATGAAAGTATTATGAGTTGTATCTTAAGGCCTGGGGAAAGTGATTAACTTTTTTTTTTTTTTTTTTTTTTTTTTGAGACAGAATTTTGCTCTTGTTGCCCAGGTTGGAGTGCAGTGGCCCGATCTCGGCTCACTGCAACCTCCACCTCTCAGGTTCAAGCCATTCTCCTACATCTACCTCCCAAGTAGCTGGGATTACAGGCATGTGCCACCATGCCCAGCTAATTTTGTACTTTTAGTAGAGATGGGGTTTCACCATCTTGGTCAGGCTGGTCTCAAACTTAAGTGATCGGCCCACCTTGGCCTTCCAAAGTGCTGGGATTACAGGTGTGAGCCACGCGCCCAGCCTCTAACTATTTCTCTTAATACAACATTGCCTCACTAGTATGTGAGACTTGGACTTGCTGTGAACCAAATATATAAGCTTTTCTCATAGCAAAGGAAAACAGAGAATAAATAGAAAATAGACAATACTGATAGAAAACAGTATGCCGGAGGGTGACTAGGAAATGGGAGGATAGGGCAACAAGAGACATTATCGTAAAGAATGCTAAAGCTGCCTCCTTACTTTGGTCACATTTCTGTACAACCAACTTTATATAAATTTCTTTATGGGGCCAGGACAGAAAATGCAAAACCAGGTTGAATGAGAAAGCACATGGGAGCCTGGTTCTGTAAATGATTCCAACCACACAAACTAGTGGCTTATTGACTTACTGATCTATGAAACCCACAGAAAAACACAGTGAGTGGATTTGGGGCAATGTGAGCAGTGTGGCTGGTGAGGAGAGCATAGATGATTAATGTCCTCCCATAATTCACAGCTCGTATTTCATACCCAGATGACTGTCCTGTTGTTTGATCCTGTTTTTGGAAGCAGGAGACAGAGGCAGGCTTCAAACCAAGCAGTCTGGTTCCAGAGTCCATGTTTGTTGTTGTTTGTTTGTTTGTTTTGAGATGAAGTCTCACTCTGTCAGCCAGGCTGGAGTGCAGTGGTGCAATGTCGGCTCACTGCAACCTCCGCCCCCCAGGTTCAAGCGATCCTCCTACCTCAGCCTCCCAAACTGCAGGGATTACAGGCATGAGCTACTGTGCCCAGCCAAGTCCATGGTTTTAATCCCTGTGCTACACTGTAGCTTTCTCTGGCCTCATATGGTTTTGAGAATAAATTATATTCTTAATATATATGACCTAATGGTCCTATCTATAACTTCTGTAATTACATAGGAAAAATGTCTAATATTCCTTTGGGGGGAAATCTATAACTTAACTCGTACCCATCAACTTTTTAAAGGAATACACTGCAGGTGGGTCATTTCTTTAAAATGTCATCTACCATTTGTATCCATAATTCATTTGGTGCAAACAGGTCTCTAAACTTGGCATCATTATAGCCAAGCTTCAGAGCCTCGGTAACGGGATTCTCAAAATGCAGCTCTTTACCATTGGTATCAGAATCCCTCAGGGTGCTGGGTGTAAAGATTCTTAGGTCATGTTGGAGACCCAGACCAGAATCTCTGGGGTAGGTTCTGGGAATATACATTTGTAATACGCACTCCAAGTGATCTGAATGCACTGTAAATTAATTTAAGAATCTCTGTCCTTATCCTTTTCTGAGACTGGGTCTTGCTCTGTCACCCAGGCTGGAGTCCTGCAGCCTTGACCTGCTGGGCTCAAGTGATTCTCTGCCTCAGTCTTGCATGTAGCTGCGATTGCTTGTGTGAGCCACGTTGCCCAGGCTGGTCTCAAACTCCTGGCTGTGTTTCTTTTGAAAACAGCTTTATTGGGATGTAACTCACTTACCATATAATTTACTCATTTCATGTGTATATTTCAGTGGTTTGGGGGAGATTCACATATGTGCAATCATCATCACAGCCAATTTTAGAACACTTTTATCACCTCAAAAGGAAACCCCTACTATCATCTGTCATGCCCCATTTCCTTTCTGTCCCTGCCCTACCCTCGGGCATAAGCCACTATAATCTCTCATATCTATGGATTTCCCTAGTCTTGACTTTCATATGAATGGAATCATATAGCATGTGGGTTTTTGTGACTGACTTCTTTCACTTAGCAGAATGTTTTCAAGATCCATCCATGTTGTAACATGTATTTGTACTTCATTCTTTTTATCGCCAAACAAATATTTCATTGTATGGGAAGACCACATTTTGCTTACCCATTGATTCACTGATGGACATCAATGGATTTAAGGGATTTTAAGTTTTCCTTTAATGTGTCCTTTTTATAATTTCATTTCAAGCTGCTTTTATTTTATATATATATGGAGTCTGGCTTTGTTGCCCAGGCTGGAGTGCAGTGGGGTGATCTCAGCTCACTGCAACCTCTGCCTCCTGGGTTCAAGTGATTCTCCTGTCTCAGCCTCCTGAGCAGGTGGGATTACAGGTGTCTGCCGCCACACCTAGCTAATTTTTGTATTTTTAGTAGAGATGGGGTTTCACTATGTTGGCCAGGCTGGTCTTGAACTCCTGACCTCAGGTGATTGGCCCACCTCGGCCTCCCAAAGTGTTGGGATTACAGGCGTGAGCCACTGTGCCGGGCCTATCATTTCAAGCTTCTTGACGACCCACATCAAGAAGCTTGAAATGATAAAGACACATTTAAGGAAACCATTTATGGAAATGAGTGGACATTTGGGTCATTTCCACCATTTGGCTATTAGGAATAATGCTGTTGTAAACATTTGTGTACAAGTTTCTATGTGAACATGTTTTCGTTTCTCTTGGGCGTATCTTAGGAGTGGAATTCTGGGTCATATGGTAGTTCTGAGTGCCACTTTCTGAAAAACTGCCAGACTGTCTTCCAGAGGCAGCACCATAGCACATTCTCACCAGCAGCGTGTGAAGGTTCTGATTCTTCTACGTCCTCCCAGCACTTGTCATCTGACTTTTTGATTCCAGATATCCTAATGAGTATTACATGATACCTCCTTTCGGCTTCTGATGTGTATTTCTCTGACGACTAAGTTTGTGGAGGACCTTTTTTTGTGTGCTTATTGGTCACGTGTACACCTTCTTTGGAGAAATGTCTACTCACATCCTTAGTCCATTTTAAACTGGGTTGTCTTTTTATTGAGTGGTAAGCGTTCTTCATTTTAGATATACTCTAAGTCCCTTGTCAGGTATACGATTTGCACATATTTTCTCTCATTCTGTAGCTGTCTTTTTACTTTCTTGTTGGTATCCTTTGAAGCACAAAGCTTTTAATTTTGATGAAGTCCACTGTGTTTATCTTTTGTTGCTGTTTTGGTGTCATACCCAAGAACCCTTTGCCACATCCTGTACTGATGGTCCCCGATTTACAGCAGTTCAACTTACAGTTTTTCAACTTTACAGATGGTGTGAAACCAGGACACATTCAGTAGAAACCACACTTGAAATTTTGAATATTTAAATCTTCTCCTGGGCTAACGATATGGGGTATGATAATCCCTCAAGATGTATAGGGCAGCGAGGCACAGCTCTCAGTCAGCCATGCGATCATAAACAACCAATACTCTACGGTGTGTATTTCTGATTTATTTTCAACTTACAATAAGTTTATCAGAATGTAACCTCATTATAAGTTGAGAAGCATCTATTTGCCCCTGAAAACTTGCCCCTACATTTTCTTCTAAGAGTTTTGTAGTTTTTGCTCTTACATTTAGGTTTTTAATCCATTTTGAGTTATTTTTTGTATATGGTGTGAGATAAAGATCCAAGTTCATTCTTTTGCACCTGGCTCATAGGTATTCTTAAACTGTTAACAATAGTAATTTTAAGGCAGTCTACCTTGTGTTAGTGCCACTTTGCTCCTTATGTTTGGCTTAGTCTTAGCAAAGCAGGAATTCACATATAGATCGCCATCATGTGGCTACTTCATTCATGTTCTGTTAACTTTTAAGTAGGTCACTGTTAAGTACAAGGATGTCAAACCATATGCCTGATTTGGTGTGCCACATCATCTAGTTCTGATCTTATTTAAAATCTTTCCTGACAAAGACGACTTTACGTGTTGGAAGTTGCTGGCAGAAAAGGTTTTTCAAACTCCAGCAGTCATCCCAGGGCAGCTATGATCTTGAAAACTGGTGATGACCTCTAGGGTGTACCGGAGACCAGTCATTGGAGATTTTTTGAGAGGTAAACTCAGTCTGGGGGCAGAAACAGGATGAAATGGTTCTAGAGGCAGGAGATGGAAATGGGATGAGAAATCTCCCAAAATGATCTCACCATTGTTATGAATGCCCTCATGATTATACAGATTTATTTCCAAATTGAACTATGTAAAACTTAGTCTGGCGAATTTGAGCATCACCTCGCTTAAAAAATTTTTTTTTGTGGGCACATAGATAAAAGGGGTTTATATTTATGGGGTACATGAGATATTTTGATACAGGCATGTAATATGAAATAATCATATCATGGAGAATTGTGTCTCCGTCCCAAGCATTTATCTTTTGTGTTACAAACAATCCAGTCACACTCTTTTAAAATGTACAATTATTATTGACAATAGTCACCCTGTTGTTAGTGCTGTCAAATAGGAAGTCTTATTTATTCATTCTCTTTTTTTAACTCATTAACTATCTCACCTGTCCTCCACTGCCCTTCCCAGCCTCTGGCAATTACCTTCTACTCTCTATGTCCCTGAGTTCAATTGTTTGATTTTAGATCCCACAAATAAGTGAGAACATGTGATGTTTGTCTTTGTCTCACTTAACATAATCATCTCCAGTTCATCCATACTGTTCCAAATGACTAGCGAGCATTCTTTTTTATGGCTGAATAGTATTCCATTCCGTATATGCTCCACATTTTCTTTATCCATTCATCTGCTGATGAACACTTAGGTTGCTTCCAAAGCTTAGCTATTTTGAACAATGCTGCAACAAACATAGGAGTGCCGATTTTCCTTCTTTAGGGTAGATGCCAGCAGGGGAATTGCTGGATCATGTGGTAGCTCAATTTTTAGTTTGAGGAACCTCCCAATTGCTCTCCATGGTTGTTGTACTAATTTACATTTCCACCAACAGGGTTCGAGGGTTCCCTTTTCACCACATCCTTGCCAGCTTCTGTTACTGCCTTTTAGATATAAGCCGTTGTAACTGGAGTGAAGTAATATCTCACTGTAGTTTTGATTTGCATTTCTCTGATGATCATTGATGTTGAACACTTTTTCATATGCCTCTTTGCCATTTGTATGTCTTTTGAGAAATGTCTGTTCAAATCTTTTGCCCATTTTTTATTTGGATTGCTAAACCTTTTCCTATAGAGTTGTTTGAGCTCCTTATACATTCTGGTTATTAATCCCTTGTCAGATGGGTAGTTTGCAAATATTTTCTCTCATTCCATGGGTTGTCCCGACTTTGTTGTTTCTTTTACTGTGCAAAGGCTTTTAACTTGATGTGATCCTTTTTTCCCATTTTGCTTTGGTTGTCTGTGCTTGTAGGGTATTGCTCAATATTTTTAAAACTGTTTTTTATTTTTGAGATGGAGTCTTGCTCTGTTACCCAAGCTGGAGTGCAGTGGCATGATCTTGGCTCGCTGCAGTCTCTGCATTATGGGTTCAAGCAATTCTCCTGCCTCAGCCTCCTGAGTAGCTGGGACTCAGGCATAAGCCACCACACCCAAATAATTTTTGTATTTTTAGTAGAGATGGGGTTTCACTGTGTTGGTCAGCCTGGTCTTGAACTCCTGCCCTCAAGTGACCTCCTGCCTCGGCCTCCTAAAGTGCTGGGATTACAGGTGTGAGCCACTTTGCCTAGCCAAGATTTTTTTTTTTTTTTTTAATATTAATTTCAAAAGTTTTGGGGGAACAGGTTCTGTTTGGTTGCATGGAAAAGTTATTTAGTGGTGACTGCTTGAGATTTAGGTGCACCCATCACCTGAACATTGTACACTGTACAATGTGTAGCCTTTTATCCCTCACCCCCCTCCACCCTTCCCCCAGGTCCCCAAGTCCATTATATTACTTTTATCATCCCTTTGTGTCCTCATAGCTCAGCTCCTGCTTCTAAGTGAAAACATATGATCTTTGGTTTTCCATCCTGAGTATTATTTCACTTAGAATAATGGTCTCCAGCTCCATCAAGGTTGCTGTTGATGCTATTTCATTCCTTTTTATGGCTGAGTAGTAGTCTATGGATATATATATACACACACCCCACATTTTCTTTATCCACTATTTGGTTGATGGGCGTTTAGGCTGAGTCCATATTTTTGGAATTGTTAATCGTGCCGCTATAAACATGCCTGTGCAGGTGTCGTTTTCATATAATGACTCCTTTACCTCTGGGTAGTGGGATTGCTGGATCAAATGGTAGTTCTACTTTTAGTTCTTTAAGGAATCTCCGTACCGTTTTCCAGTTTACATTCCCACCAGCAGTATAAAAGTGTTCCTTTTTTTACTACATCCATGCCAGCATCTGTTATTTTTTTATTTTGGAACTGTGGTCATTCTTGCAGGAGTAAGGTGGTATTTCATTATGGTTTTGTTTTGCATTCCCCTGATACCGCCGTTGAGCATTTTTTCATGTTTCTTGGTCATTTGGATATCTTCTTTTGAGAATTCTCTATTTATGTCCTTAGCCTACTTTTTGATGTGATTATTTGATTTTTTTCTTGCTGATATGTTTGAGTTCCTTGTAGATTCTGGATATTAGTCCTTTGTTGGATGCATAGGCTGCGAATATTTTCTCCTACTCTATGATTTGTCTGTTTGCAGATTATTTCCTTTGCTGTACAGAAGACTTTTTGTTTAATTAGGTCCCATCTATTTATTTTTGTTGCCTTTGCTTTTGAATTCTTGGTCATGAACTCTTTGCCTAAGACAATGTCTAGAAGAGTTTTTCTGATGTTAGCTTCTACAATTTTTCTGTTTCAGGTGTTAAAGTCTTTGATCCATCTAGAGTTGATTTTTGTATACGGTGAGAGATGAGGATCCAGTTTCATTCTCCTACATGTGGCTAGCCAGTTATCCCAGCACCATTTGTTGAATAGGGTGTCCTTTCCCCACTTTGTTTTTATTTGCATTGTTGAAGATCAGTTGGCTCTCAATATTTGGCTTTATTTCTGGGTTCTCTATTCTGTTCCATTAGTCTATCTGTCCATTCTCAGGCTGGAGTGCAATGGTGCAATCTGGGTTCTCTGCAATCTCCCCACCTCCTTGGTTCCAGTGATTCTCCTGCCTAAGCCTCCTGAGTAGCTGGGATTACAGGCACCTGCCACCATGCCCGGCTAATTTTTGTATTTTTAGTAGAGATGAGGTTTCACTGTGTTGGCTAGGCTGGCCCGAACTCCTGACCTCAAGTGATCTGCCTGCCCCGGCTTCCCAGAGTGCTGGGATTACAGGTATGAGCCACCACGCCTGGCCCTACCTGCCTCTTCTTCTACCAGTTACCATGCTGTTTTGGTAGCTATAGCCTTGTAGTGTAGTTGGAAGCTGGGTAATGTGATGCCTCCAGATTTGTTCTTTTTGCTTAGTCTTACTTTGGCTATGTGGGGTCTTTTTTGGTTCCATATAAATTTTAGGATTTTTTTTTCTATTTCTGTGAAGAATGATGACTTTTTGAGACAGAGTCTTGCTCTGTTGCCCAGACTGGAGTACAGTGGTGCGATATTGGCTCACTGCAACCCCTGCCTCCCGGGTTCAAGCCATTCTCATGCCTCAGCCTTCCAAGTAGCTGGGATTACGGGTATGCACCACCACACCTGGCTAACTTTTGTATTTTTTTAGAGACAGGGTTTCACCATGTTGTCCAGGGTGGTCTCAAACTCTTGACCTCAAGTGATCTGCCTGCCTGGCCTTCCAAAGTGCTAGGATTACAGGGGTGAGCCACCACATCCAGCCCGATGATGGCATCTTGATGAGAATTGCATTTAATTTGTAGATTGCTTTTGGCAGTATAGTCACTTTCACAATATTGATTCTATCCATCTGTGCGCATGGGGGATGTGTTTCTATTTGTTTGTGTCATCTGTGATCTCTTTTAGCAGTGTTTTGTAGTTTTCCTTGGAGAGATCTTTCACCTCCTTGGTTAGGTATATTCCTAAGTATTTTATTTTGTTTTTGCAGCTGTTGTAAAAGGGGTTGAGTTCCTTATTTGATTCTCAGCCTGGTCATTGTTGGTGATGAATTCTAGGAGCTTTTAGGATAAGTCTTTAGGGTTTTCTCTGTATACAATCATATCAGTAAACAGTGACAGTTTGACTTAACTCTTTACTGCTTTGGATGCCCTCTATTTCTTTCTGTTGTCTTATTGCTCTGGCTAAGGACTTCCAGAACTGTGATAAATAAAAGGGGTAAAAGAGGGCATCCTTGCCTTGTTCCAGTTCTCAGGTGGAATGCTTTCAACTTTTCCCCATTTAGCATAATGTTGGCTGTGGGTTTGTCATAGATGGCTTTTATTACCTTGATGGATGTCCCTTCTATGCTAACCTTGCTGAAGGTTTTAATCTTAAAGAGATGCTGGATTTTTTCAAATACTTTTCCTGCATCCATGGAGATAATCATATGATTTTCATTTTTAATTATTTAATGTGATATATCCCACTTATTGACTCATGTATGTTAAACCACCCCTGCACCCCTGGTGTGAAACGTGCTTGATCACGGTGGATTCTCTTTTTGATATGCTGTTGGATTAAGTTAGCTATTCATAGCATTTTGTTGAGGATCTTTACATTTATGTTCATCAGGGATATTGGTCTGTAGTTTTCTTGTGTCCTTTTCTGGTGTTGGTATTAGGGGGATACTGGTTTCACAGAACGATTAAGGGAGGATTCCCTCTTTATCTTTCGGAACAGTTTCAGTAAGATTGGTACCAATTCTTCTTTGAATATCTGATAGAATTTAGCTGTGAATCCACCTGGTCCTAGACTTTATTTTTGTTGGCAATTTTTTATTGCTGTTTCAATCTTGCTAGTTATTATTGGTCTGTTTAGTTTCCATTTCTTCCTGATATAATCTAGGGGGATTGTATATTTTGATTTTCTAATTTGTGTAAAGATGTTTATAGTAACATTGAATGATCTTTTGTATTTTTGTGGTATCGGTTGTAATATCTCCCATTTTGTTTCTAATTGAGCTTATTTGGATCTTCTCTCTTTTCTTGGTTAATCTAATGATCTATCAATTTTGTTTCTCTTTTCAAAGAACCAGCTTTTGTTTATCTTTTGTATTGCCTTTTTGTTTCAATTTCTTAGTTCTGCTCTGATCTTTGGGTTTGGTTTGTTCTTGTTTCTCTAGTTCCTTGTGGTGTGACCTTAGATTTTCTATTTGTGCTCTCTCAGACTTTTTTGATGTAGGCATTTAATGCTGTGAACTTTCCTCTTAGCCCCACTTTTGCTGTGTCCCAGAGGTTTTGGTAAGTTGTGTCGTTATCATCATTCAGTTCTAAGGATTTAATTTCCATCTTGATTTCATTGTTGACCCAAAGATCACTCAGGAACAGATTATTTAATTTTCATGCGTTTATATAATTTTGAGGGTTCCTTTTGGAGTTAATTTCCAATTTTATTCCACTATGGTCTGAGAGAGTACTTGATACCTCAATTTTCTTAAATTTAAGACTCATTTTGTGGCCTATCATATGGTCTATCTTGGAGAATGTTCTATGTGCTGATTAAAAGAATGTATATTCTACAGTTGTTGGATACTTTGTTCTGTAAGTATCTGTTAAGTCCATTTGTTCTATGGTATAGTTTAAGTCCATTGTTTTTTTGTTGACTTTGTCTTGATGGCCTGTCCAGTGCTGTCAGTGGAGAAGTGAAGTCCCCCACTACTGTTGCGTTGCTATCTTATTTCTTCATGTCTAATAATAGTTTAATGATAGTTGATAAATTTGGGAGTTCCCATATTGGTGCATATGTATTTAGAACTGTGATATTTTCCTGTTGGACTGATCCTTTCATTATTACATAATGTCTTTTTAAAAACTGTTGTTGCTTTAAAGTCTATTTTGTCTGATATAAGAATAGCTACTCCTGCTTTTTGATTCCATTTGCATGGAATATCTTTTTCCACCCATTTACCTTAAGTTTATGTGAGTCCTTATGCATTAGTTGAGTCTATTGAAGGCAACAGACATTTGATTGGTAGATTTTTATCTATTCTGCCATTCTGTATCTTTTAAGTGGAGCATTTAGGCCATTTACATTCAACATCAGTATTGAGATATGAGACTGTTTTATTCATCATGCCAGTTGTTGAATACCTTGTGTTTTTTTCATTGTTTTATAGGCCCTGTGAAATTTATGCTTTAAGGAGCTTCTATTTTGGTGTATTTTGAGGTTTTGTTTCAAGATTTAGAACTCCTTTTTGCATTTCTTGTAGTGCTGGCTTGGTGATGGCAAATTCTCAGCATTTGGTTGTCTGAAGAGTTTTTACCTTTTTCTTCATTTATAAAGCTTAGTTTTGCTGGATACAAAATTAGTGACTGGCAATTATTTTGTTTGAAAAGGCTAAAGATAGGACCCCAGTCTTTTCTGGCTTATAGGGTTTCTGCTGAGAAATCTGCTCTTAATCTGATAGGTTTTCCTTTCTAGGTTACCTGATGCTTTTGCCTCACAGCTCTTAAGGTTCTTTCCTTTGTCTTGACTTTAGATAACCTGATAACTCTGTGCCTGATCATCTTTTTGCAATGATATTTTCCCAGGTCGTCTTTGAGCTTCTTGTATTTGGGTCTGAATCTCTAGTAAGGCCAGGGAAGTTTTTCTTGATTATTCCCTCAAATATATTTCCCAAATTTTTAGATTTCTCTTCTCCCTCAGGAACACCAATTGTTCTTAGGTTTTGGCCATTTAACATAATCCCAAATTTCTTGGAAGCTCTGTTCATTTTTAAAATTCTTTTTTGTCTTTGTTGATTGGGTAACTTCGAAAGCCTTGTCTTCAAGTTCTGAAGTCCTTTCTTTTCTACTTGATTCTATTGTTGAAACTTTCCAGGGAATTTTGTATCCTCCAAGTGTGTCTTTCGTTTCCAGAAGTTGTGATTGTTTTTTCTTTATGATACCTATTTCTCTGGAGACATTTTCATCCATATCCTGTATTTTTTTTTCTTTTAATTTAAACTGGTTTTCGCCTTTCTCTGGTATCTCCTTGAGTACCTTAGTAATCAGCCTTCTGAATGATTTATCTGGCAATTCAGGTATTTCTTCTTGGTTTGGATCCATTGCTGGAGAGCTATAGTGGGCCTTGGGTGGGGGGGGGTGTTAATATAAACTTGTTTTGTCATGTTACCAGAACTGCTTTTCTGATTCCTGATTCCTTCTCATTTGGGTAGATTATTTTACCGGAAAAATCTGGAACTCAAGGGCTGCTGCTCAGTTTCTTTTGTCCCACAGAGGGGTCCCTTGATGTGGGGCATTTCCCCTTCCCCTAGTGATGGGGCTTCCTGTGAGCCAGAGTGCAGTGATTGTTATTGCTCTTCTGAGTCTAGTTACCCAGTAGAGCTACCAGACTTTGGACTGGTGCTGGGGAATGTCTGCAAAGAATCCTGTGATGCAGTCCATCTTCAGGTGTCCCAGCTGTAGATACCAGCATCTGCTCTGCTGGAGATGGCAGGGGAGTAAAGTAGACTCAGAGTTCTTGGTTGTATGTTTAGTGTGCTAGCTTTCTTAAATGCTGGTTATGCTAGCAATGAAGTTGTCACATGAACAGATTCAGGACCACTGTTTAGCCAGGATGTTGCAGGCAGTAGAATTAGCTATTGTTTTCTTCTTCCTTGGAGCAGGGGATCTGTCATGAATTGCTATAATGTCCTGAGTTGGTTGGCCTCCAAACAGCAGGTGGCATTTTCAAGAGAGCACCAGAGGTTTTCTCCTGTCTCACAGCATTTGCAGTGGCCTGCTGCATCTTTCAAAGTATCTGTGAGTTCTTTCAGTTTTCCTGGTATGCTCCTGTGGTGGTTCCTGGAGCAAAAGTCCATAGTGTGACTCTCCACATGTGTTCTGGCTGTCCATGTGGGAGCTGAATGTAAGCCCTGTCTCCTATCCGCTATCTTCCCCTCAAAGTATTTATATGTAAATAGAAGAAATAGATGAACAGAGTCTAGATCCAGATGGAAATCTGGGATCCATTCCCTGCCTGTTGCACTTTCGGTTCAGAAAACATTCTCTGCTCTTTAGCCCCAAACCTGCGCCATAATGGCGGTGCCCATAGAGACACTCTCAGGAAATTTTTGCCCAGACCCATGTCCTGGCGATTTTCCCCAATGTTTTCTTGTAGTAGTTTCATAGTTTGAGGTCTTAGGTTTAAGTCTTTAATCCATTTTGATTATTTGATTTGTATATCTGGTGAGAGAGGGGGGGTCTAGTTTCATTCTTCTGCATGTGGATATCTAGTTTCCCCAGCACGATTTATTGAAAACACTGTCTTTTCGCCAGTGTATGTTCTTGGCAATTTGTTGAAAATGAGTTCACTGTAGGTGTGTGGATTTGTTTCTGGATTCTCTATTCCGGAATGATAATCCATTGGTTTATGTTCCATTGGTCTGTGTGTCTGTTTCTATAGTAGTACTATGCTGTTTTAATTTGAAGTCAGGTCATGTTGATTCTTCCAGTTTTGTTCTTTCTGCTTAAAATAGCTTTGGCTATTCTGGGTCTTTGGTGATTCTATATAGATTTTAGGATTCTTTTCTATTTCTGTGAAGAATATCATTGGTATTTTGATACGGAGATTTTAACAATATTGATTCTTCCAATCCATAAACATTTTTCATTTTTTGTGTCCGCTTCAGTTTCTCTCATCAATGTTTTATAGTTTTCATTATAGAGATATTTCACTTCTTTGGTTAATTCCTAGGTATTTATTTGTGGCTATTGTAAGTAGAATTTTTTTCAGATTGTTCACTGTTGGCATATAGAAATGCTACTGATTTTTTTGTATGTTGATCTTGTTTCCCGCAACTTTAATGAATTTATTAGTTGTCATACTTTTTTAATGGAGTCGTTAGGTTTTTCCAAGTATATCATCTGCAAACAAGGATAATTTTAACGTCTTCTATTCCAATTTGGATGCTCTTTCTCTCTCTTGTCTGACTGCTCTAGCTAGGACTTCCAGTACTATGTTGAATAACAGTGGTGACTGTGGGTATCCTTGTCAATGTTCCAGATCTTAAAAGAAAGGCTTTTCGTTTTCCCCTATTCAGTGGCTACTAGCTGTGGGTCTGTTATATAGGGCTTTTATTATGTTGAGATGTTTCTTCTAGCCCCAGTTTGAGGGTTTTTATCATGAAGGAACACTGAATTTTACTGTCTTTTTTTTTTTTTTTTTTTTAGCATCAATTGAAATGATCATATGGTTTTTATCTCTCATTCTGTTGACGTGATGTATCACATTGATTTGTGGATGGTGAACCATCCTTGTATCGCAGAGATAAATTCTACTTGGTCATGACGAATAATCTTTCCAATGTATTGTTGAATTTGGTTTGCGAGTATTTTGTTGAGGATTTTTGCATCAATATTTATCAGAGATATTAGCCTATAGTGTTTTTGATGCGTCTTTGGTTTTAGTATCAGGGTATTACTGGCCTCCTTCAAGTGTTTAGTAGTATTCCCTCTTCTATTTTTTTGGAATAGTTTGAGTAGGACTGATACTACTTTTTCTTTAAATGTTTGGTAGAATTCTTCAGTGAAGCCGTTGGGTCCCAGGCTTTTCTGTACTGGGAGACTTTTATTATAGCTTTGATCTCTTGCCTTTTTACTCCTTGTTACTAACATTGAAAGTCTTTAGAAGATGTTAAGAGAGCTCTGAAAAGAACCCTTGTTTTAGGGACAGAAGAACTGAAGAAAAGCTGGGAGAAAACATTGCTTTCTCAGTGGATCAGGGAGCAGAAAAATCCTTGTCAGAAAAAAAGATTTTTGGTCTGTTCGAGGTTTTAGACTTCTGGCTTAATCTTGGTAGGCTGTGTCTGGTAATTTGCCCATTTCTTCTAGATTTTACAATTTGTTGGCATATAGTTGCTTATCATCTGGCTTCTCAATAAGGGATTAAAACAATGATGACTCCTTGTTGCAAGACTGATAGAAGATTTTGCCCATACTGATAAAAGGCAAGGCTAATCCCTCTTAAACATAAGAGTAACTGAAATGAGTATTCCAGCTGAACAGATATAGCCTACATTCAAATAAACAGAACATCTTTAATCTCCTACAAAAAAAGAGATCTTATTTTTGCCTAGTGCAAGGCACAATGTCTGTTTAAGTATGCTGAATGATTATCTGTCCTTCTAGACCAACCCTGGAATGGTCCCCAGCCATGGATTCAGTCCCAGATCTTATTTCTTTGACAACCCTCGAAGATATGACAGTGATGATGACCTTGCCTGGAACATTGCTCCTCAGGGACTTCAGGGAGGGTAAGACCTTACTTCATGTTAGACAAGCCTCATTAGGAGGGAAGGGTTACACTAATTAAATAGATTCAAGCTAAAAGAAAATTCCTCCATTACAACTGTGCAGCTGGAGGTGGTACAGGACTGGATTATCGGTAGATCATTTTACTTATGTGAAACATTCAGGAATGAGAAAGGACACCAGACTTTTTTAAAGCCCCATAGCATTATTGTATACAGTAGTGTTTCCTAAACAATATTCCATGAAACACTTTTCTTAATAGCTATGCCATGCAAAAAGGAAAGGATGGTTTAACTTTTTCTTTTTCTTTTTTTTTTTTTTGAGATAGGGTCTCGCTCTGTTGCCCAGGCTGGAGTGCAGTGGTGCGATCTCCGCTCACTGCAGCCTCCCCGTCCTAGGTTCAAGGGATTCTTGTGCTTCAGGCTCCCGAGTAGCTGGGATTACAGGTGTGCGCCACCACACCCAGCTAATTTTTGTGTTTTCAGTAGAGACGGGGTTTCACCACATTGGCCAGGCTGGATTGAACTCCTGGCCTCAAGTGATCTGCCTACCTCAGCCTCCCAGAGTGCTGGGATTACAGGCATGAACCATGTCACCTGGCCAGAAAATGAACTTTTTAAAAAATACCAAGATTTCACAGAGCCTATAATATGGTAATGTGTGCTCTGAATCTCCAAGAGAGAAATATAGCACTTGTCTATGAAATCAGTCAATGGAACATATCTTTAACCACATTTTCTAAAGCAAGAGAGTAAATGCAGTATTTATTAGAATAAGTTATACATTATAAAGAACCAAGTTTTCAAATTTGAGTGATGTCAATTCTTAATTTAAAATTTCATTAACATGAAAGGTATTTACTTTGGTCTTAATTTTCATGAATACTTATTTAATAAATACTTCTATAGCATCTACTCCATATCAGACACGGTTCTAAGAGATTCACAAATACCAACTCATTTAGTTTTCTTAACAGTCCTGAGACGTCAGTACTAATTAGCCTCATAATACAGATGAAGCTGAGGTATCCAGAGGGTAGGTGACTTGTCCAAGGTCACACAGCTAGTGTCAGGCTGGAATTCTAACTCAGGCAATCTTGTTCAAATCTGTTTTCTGAATCCCTATACTATATAAACAGTTTGTATATAAGTACCCTGTCTCTCAGTCTCACTTATGCTTATGTTATACTTTCATGTGAGTTTTAGTAGGTAGAGTCTCCCTTCTTGAATCCACTTGCAGATCTGGCCCAGAAAATTTGGAGAGGGCAGTTAAATTACAGTTCAAACCCACTAACATAGAGGGTGTAAGACAGTGTATGAACTAGCATTCAGCTGCCGTCACCTAATGATAGCAGTGGATTAGGAAGGCAAATAAAAAGAGGGAAGAACTTGAACACGAGACTGATTGCAACCATAGCAGAGACTCACCCCAGGATTCCAAGTTTTGCTTACCTCAGCATGGGCATGGTGTGCAAACAGGAAGGGTAGTAGCTATTGGGATGCCCTTCCCTTTTCCTCAGCCATACTCCACTGCCCGATGACTGTCGTGTTTCCCGTTTCAGCCTGTGACTCTGGGACTATAAGGCAAAGGGGCAAGAGGAGGCAAAAGGGCTTGCTCAGCCTGTCTTCTGCTTGTCATCCCAGGACCCCCATCCTGTTTCCTTAGAAGTGAAAGCTTGCGGGGCCGGGTACAGTGGCTCGTGGCTCATGCCTGTAATCCCAGCCCTTTGGGAGGCCAAGGAGGGCAGATCACAAGACCATCCTGGCCAACATGGTGAAACCTTGTCTCTGCTAAAAATACAAAAAATAGCTGGGCGTGGTAGTGTGCGGCTATAGTCCCAGCTACTCAGGAGGCTGTGGCAGGAGAATCACTTGAATCTGGGTGGTGGAGGTTGCATTGAACTGAGATTGCGCCACTGCACTCCAGTCTGGTGACAGTGAGCCTTGCATCTCAAAAAAAAAAAGTGAAAGCTTATCTTATGTAATCTTTTGTGAGACTAAAGACTTAACATTAACAACTTGACATTTTTCCCTCTGGGATGAAATGATAGAAGATATGCTTGCCTTTTTATTCCTTGTTACTAACAGTGAAAGTCTTTAGAAAATCTAAAGTGAGATCTACAGAGAGCTCTGAAAAGAGCCCTTGTTTTAGGGACAGGAGAACTGAAGAAAAGCTGGGAGAATATATGCCTTCTCAGTGATCAGAGGAATTCTGATCCGAAAGGATAAAGGCTGATAGCTGAGAGGAACAGCAGCAAGCTGACCAATCCCCTGGGCTAGCAGATGCAAAGAATGTAAGCTGGAAGCAAGCCAATAAACAAGAAGGACTTCTTGAGGTCAAATGCTGTCCTTTAGGTCACTCAGATTCCGAGCTCCACCTCTTCCCTAAAACTGCTCTTTCCAGTTACTCCACTGCATTTCCTATTAGTTTTTTTTTTTCCTCCCTTTAAACGCACATTTTGCTGGAGCTGTCCTACCCTCTCATCTGCCAGAAATGACTTAGAACTGAGGGAGTCCTTACTACCTGCATCAGTGAAGAACCCCTTTTCTACTATATAGAGAAACATTATAATAAAAATGACTCACATATATTGAGAATCAACTATATATTAGATATTGTTCTAAGCACTTTACAGGTGTTAACTCAGTACCCACAATAGCCCCACGATGTAGTTACTAATATTACTCCCATTCTAAGATGAGGAAATTGAGGCAAAGAAGTTACTTCTCCAAAGGCACCACAGGTAGTGAGCTATACTACATTTTAGGATTCAGGTAGTTTGTTGCTAAAAAAATTTCCTGTTATAATGACTGGCTGGGTTCTCTAGTAATGCTATATACTTCTGTGCTCTAAAGAGTTCAGTAGGCCGGGCGCGGTGGCTCAAGCCTGTAATCCCAGCACTTTGGGAGGCCGAGGCGGGTGGATCATGAGGTCAGGAGATCGAGACCATCCTGGTCAACATGGTGAAACCCCATCTCTGCTAAAAATACAAAAAATTAGCTGGGCATGGTGGTGCGTGCCTGTAATCCCAGCGACTCAGGAGGCTGGGGCAGGAGAATTGCCTGAACCCGGGAGGCAGAGGTTGCAGTGAGCCGAGATTGCGCCATTGCACTCCAGCCTGGGTAACATGAGTGAAACTCCATCAAAAAAAAAAAAAAAAAAAAAAAGAGTTCAGTAGACTTGTAGGTGGGCATTTAGCATTGTTTTGTGGGAAAATGGACTTTAAGAGCCATTTTAAATAACTTTAGAGTTATCTATAGTTTATACAGAATCTCAGCTCTGTCTACCTAAAACTACACGTCATACATACTATAATGTTTCAAGTCACTGAAATATTTTTTTCTCTTTAAGTTTTGCTCCAGACTACTATGATTGGGGACAACAAACTAACGGCTTCCTGGCACAAGCAGGAACTTTGCAAGACTCAGCTTTGGATCCTGACAAACCAAGCCTGGGGTAGCATCAGTTAACAATTGTATGGAAGATTCCTCAGATGAAAAGCTTCAGAAAAGTGTAGTGATAGCTGAATTTTTAGGGCACTTTTCCTTAAGAAATAGAACTTGATTTTTGTTACAGGTTTCCAGTGGCTCCATAGGACTAAGCAATAATGTAGACTTTGATAAACCCTTATTTTAGTACTAAACAGGAAGCCTTGCTATATCAGTGGGTGTAATTTAAACTTTTTAAAGAAAATCTGTACTTTTATAAAGATGTATTTTATATAACTTAAATAATGATGCTAAAGTATACTAGGTTTTTTTTTTCTTGAGAATGTTACTGCAATTATGTTGTAGTTTGCACAGACTTTTATGCATAATTCACTTTAAAAATATAGAATATATGGTCTAATAGGTTTTTTAAAGCTTTTAGACTAAAGTATTCCTCAAATCTTACCTCTTCAGGTCACTGATGGTCACTCAGATTCTGAGTGCCACATTGGTAGACGCGTAAAATACAATTGACAGCTTAGCCAACTGCAACTCCAGTGTTGTTGATAGTTAAAATGAAATGGAATAGCAGCAGACTGTAAGGCCTTTAGAGATTTTTTTAAAGAGGTTCAGGCAGTAGGTCCCTCAAAGAATCTCTTAAGTTTTGCCCAAAGACTGTTATTTCCTTTCAGTAGGGCGCTAATGTATACACATTAATGATAACAAGTTGATAACATTAAAAATGTAGCTGACTTATCCTATTAAACCTCCTCTGCTGTATTCACAGATTCTGCATAGTTTTTTTTTTTTTTTCAGCCTAATGAAATCGAATATGTATTACCTCAGGGCTACAGCAAGAGTACACCCCTTTCCCAGCTCACTGAATGTTCACTACACTCAAGGGGAAAACAAGAGGTTCCATAAAGGGCATTAATAACAATTACCCCAAGCCCTTGAGCTAAGACTATGTGGAATCCTAGTAGTTTTTTCTGTAATCTCCAACTATTTTTAAAATAATGCTCTTACTTCTAAATAGCTCTGTAAAGAGCCTATTGAAAGCTGCACATTTAAAAATGGCAAAAGCGCTGCAATATGCTATAGCATGATGCCTGTCAGCCATGTAAAGGAATTGTTCCAGACAATTCCTTAGAAGCCATCTTTTATTTAAGTAAAAAAAACATGTTATGAAATACTGCCTCCCAAACCAGAAGTGCTATTCTAAAAACTCCACTACATGTATCTTGGAGCCATAAAACTGCCTATTGGGAGGCTAAACGCTCTGCTCTTCTGTAAAATAGAGATAAGGTTCTAAAGGAAGTACTGTCATCAGAAACAAGGTATCTTTCTGCTCTGCCTAGGAACATCTGGGGACAGAGGGAAGGTCAAATGAAAAGGAACTTACATTAACAAGTCATACTACATGATGCAACCCATTTCAAATGACCCTTCTCGTTTTGATCTTCAGGAATAACTGATCTCTGGGCATTGGTTTCACAGAGATCAAGTCTACTATTGTTTTGGTAATATTTAAAATTGGGATCGCAAGTTTCAAATACATTATCATTGATTGGGCTTTTCATTTGTATAGAACACCTTTACTCAGCATAATCCTACATAACAACATTCTTGTCTTTCGGTACATGAAAAAATGGGGGTAACATAGCATTTAAAATAGGGAAAATTCTACAGTGAAGGGAACTCTACACTGTTAGTCAAGTTGCCTTAACACATTACAAACTATTATTCTAAATAGCTTTAACAAATTATTATGGTCACACTGTATTACTAATATTTGGGAGAATTTAAAGGCAAACTCAGCATGTTTTAAACTCCTTTAAGTCACATCTTTAGAAAACCTTGCAGTCCTTCAGTATTGGGTCAACTAAGAGAAAATGTATTTTTTAAAATACAGTGATAAGAATACCACTAATACGGTATTATACTCCTATAATATCTAAACAGTTCTGTTAATGGCAGAAAAATTGGAATACCCACCATTAACTGATAAAAGTCATAATGTACTTTTATGATGAAGCTACTAGGAATATTTGAACTATTTTTGTTGGAAAGGATAAAAATGTTCTGAGTGCCTGTTTTTCTCATCCCCTTTTTAAAAAAGTAATGTTAATTTTTTTTAAAGTGTTGTAAATACACATTAGGACACAAAAAACTGATTGGTTACATCAAACTCTCCTCTTTTCGTGAGGAAAACAAATTCTCTTTAGCTTTCAATGTACTTGTTCTGCTAGGTACACTAACAAAAGTACTACTTATGTGGAATATTAAATGCTAACAGGAAAAGGAATGGTGATTACTGGTTGCAAAAAACCCAAATGTCCTTCTGTTTTAAAGCAACACGGTGAAATTAAAGCCCTGATAATTTGAAGGTTCAAGTGTATGGGGAAGAGGCAATCACTGAGAATTTTGTACCATCATTTATCTAAGCCTGATGCAACACTGAAAAGCTTCATGTGAATGTTTCTGGGTAACTATAGGAAATAGTTTCTCCGTGACTACTGGAATAGGTGTCTACCTCTGCAGCTAATTGTCTAAGAATATTGTATAGATATTTTTTATTGGTTCTTTATCCTTTTTACAATGAACTTAGTTGAGCTCATGATTAAAATGTCTAAAGTATGTTACACAGAGCTGTGACTGTAAGAAGGTTTAACTATTATAATACACATATCAATCATACTTAGTTATGCCAATTCTCTCTTGAATGTATCAGGCAAATTTAAAAGCTCTGCTGATTATATTTAGCTGCTTAGATCAGGCACACTTACTAATCCCTCCTCAAATTCCCTCTTTCACCAACATGCAAGTCACCTGCTGTTTGTTGACTTTAGTGTTGGGCCAACATCTAGTTGAACACTTAAACCTTATTAAGAAGAAAGGAAGGCATATTAGTAAATTCTAGAACTTGGGAAGCACTGTGAGATTTTCATTTTTATATTTACATAGTGGATATTATTAGAATAGTGCTTTTATCTTTTAGCAGTAAAGGTAAACTTATATTAAAACTAATGGGTCTAAATATTTGAAACTTTTATCGAGATTTCTAACTAGACAAACTTTATCTAAAAAAAAAATACCATTCTTTCACTTTAGATTGCTGCATATAGACTGGCATAGATCTGATCAGAGACACATCTAATATGCATTCCCATTCTCTTATGTGAGAATTGTATTAAACAACATTTCTAACTGTATATAATGCTACTTAAGACTTAACGGGTCCAGATGGAGGAGGTGCTGAAAAATATCGGCTAAAAACAGTAGAATTCTTCTCATAAAAAAGACTCAACTACTAATAAACTGATTAAAGTGAGGAAACATTTAACGAGGAACAGTGGGATAACAGAGTGGGATTCAATGTCTATTGAGTACCTGTGTATGCGAGATGCTGGACTAGGTACCTGTCATACTCAGGAACACCCACATACTAACATTACCCTAGGCCCTTAGCAAGGATACATGAAGAACCCATGAACCAAGTGGTCAAAATAGGCTGAAGTCTTCTGAGGATGTCCCTGTGCCTGTAACCCAGATCTGTGTCAGAGTCCCCATTTCTGTTGCCCAGTTCCTATGGGCTGGGCACTGATGCTACATTCATTAAGTGTGGAGTTCTGAGATTGGCTGCCCACGTCATTAATGATAGGTTCAGGGTCTTGAGATCTAAATCCAGTGACTCTGCAACTCCTAATGACATCTACACCAGGTTCCTCCAAATCTAGGTTCTCTACCTCTAGTCCCTGAGTTACGGCTGGGCCCTGTCTTCTATTTTCTCAGAAACTGGTTAATATCTTCCTAATACTAATTCTCCAGCTACAAACCTCATCTGCCCTTTTGGACCCTGGCTGCCCTACCACTCAAAATATTAAGACTTTCTATGTCTAGAACAGATTTTCTGGCCCTGAACTTAAGTAGAGATCAGATTCCTATAAGATTCCCCAAATTGCTAAAAAGCCCTTTTTCTACTAATTTGTTACTATGACCTTTTCCCCGTCAATCTCACTGACGTACAATAGTCCCCCACCCCCCGTCTTTGGGCAGGCCCAAGTTACAGTGCCCCATGAAGGCATTCACTGAAGTATATAAAGCACGCATTTATGTTAAACAAATAGTGCTTTACCAGGACCATTTAATTGGTGTAACTTAGTATCCTTAAAGTGGATTCACTAACCAACAGTCTGGGCTCCAGATTTGCCGGTTTAAAGCTCATTAAAGGTAAAAGAACACTCACCCATTTGGAGGTATATTCTGTGAAGGAAAGCCAGAGTGGAAGTTAAATGATACCAGAATGTTGCTTAGGAATGTTAACTCCGCTCTGACCAGTGTTAGGAAAATGACTTTAATTAATAGCATCCATCTATGACCGTCTGATGGCATTGTGAAGACGACACTAAGATTCATTCACATTGAGCACCTTCTGCACTGGATAGGTGTCTAGTTGACCATTCCCCTTTGGCTGACATATTTTTTTCTTTGGGTGGATTCTCACTATAATCTAGCTAGGTTATAATGTCTAAGTTATATGATGGCAGGAATGTCTGTTTTGTTCACTGCTACATTACCAGCTCCTAGAACAGTGAATAGTCAAATTCTGTTTTTTGGTAGATGTCTTTTTTTTTTCCAAGGTAACTTATTGCATTTGTACTTTTATCCACATACTGATTTGACAAGTTTAGTACTCATTTAAGGGTCCCTCCCTCTTGTCTTATGACTCTGACAAGATATCCAACTTTTGGGCAAATAATTCATAATGGAATAAAAAAAGAAACAGGGATTTTGAATGAGAATAGTCCTTAAATCATCCCTAGAGACTATCTTAAAATAGAAGCACTGAGATGACATTCTGTCTACACAGGCACTGCATCCTGCCTCTATCTGCCATCACCTGTTTGGGCACTGGCAAATAGAACACTGTAATAATTTAAAAGGAGTAAAAAGTATAAAGAACAGTGACAAAATAAGTGGTTAAAAGTGCAACCCTTGGGAGAGAACTTGAGTTGGAGAGTTTTAGTATGCTCTGCATGTTAAGAAATGTTTAAAAGCTCATATGGAAAAATAAGACCAGCTAGAAAAAGTATAAAAAAAGAAAAAAAAAAAAGGTGGGGGGAGGAATGAGGGAGGACCAATGCACTAGATTAAAAATACAGCCTGAGTAATTAAAACAGTGTGGTACTGGTGCACAACTAAACAGACCAATGAAATAGAAACAGAACCCAGACACAGAGCTGAATACATACGGGGTTCTAAGATAAGATCAATGCAGCCTCTCTAACTCGTGAGGAAAAAACAGTTCAATATATTGGAATAACTGGGTTAATCACCTGCAGAAAAAATTAGGTTAGATCCATAAGTCACATCTTAGGCCAGAATAAACTTCAAAGGTTCAAAATTTAGATGTAGAATTTAGGTGAATTATTCGATTGCTCTGGATTGAGAATTCAAAATCTGGAAACCACTAAAAAATTGATAATTCAGACTACATAAAAATTTTTAAAAACTCATGATATAACCATCATAAGCAAAGCAAAAGACAGATGACAAATTGGAAAGAAAATATTTCCAATGCATTACTGTCAAAGGGTTCATATCCCTAACAAATAACATATCAACAATATAAAAACTATAAAAAAAAAAAGGTAGGGGGAGGAATGAGGGAGGACCAATGCACTAGACTGGATAGGAACAAAATACAGGAGCACAAAAGGAAATACAAATGGCTCCTAAACATATTCAAAGGTGCTCAACCTTAGGCATAATGAATATTTACATACTGAGCAGTCAGGTGTGTGGTGTGTACCTATAATCCAGGCTATTTGGGAGGTTGAGGCTGGAGGATCACTTGAACCCAGGAGTTTGAGGCCACAGTGAACTATGATGATACCACTGCGCTCCAGCCTGGGTGATAGAGTGGGACCTGATCTTTTTTTTTTTTTTTTTAAGTAAAATAAAAGAATTTACACATTGGTAGATATTTTCATCTATCGGAATGGCCAGAATCCAACATTTTAATAACATCTACATTGGTAAAGTTGCAGGTCAGCAAGTACTACCATAAATGTCAGATGGTATGTGAATTGATGACTACCCCCGTGGAAGACAATATGCCAGTATCTTTCAAAATGATAAATGCACATACTCTCTCTGCCCCCAAAATTCTTATCTTTGGGAATTTATCCTACAGGTACAATATTTATATAAATGTGAAATGACATATGTACAAGGTATGGAAACAACCCAACTGCCCATTAATAGAGGACTGGTTAATTCAACATTGGCACATCCATATAACAGAATACCAAGCATCTACTTACAAAAATGAGAAAACTATCTAGTGATATGTGAAGACTGCCAAGAAATATTAGGTGAAAAAAATGAAATAGTATGTATATGATGTCAATTTTGGGGTAAAAATGAGAGAAGAAATAAGACTGCATTTGTATATGTTTGTACATGTCTAAAACTGTGTGAATGGAAACCTAAGAAACCAAGAACAGAGGTAATTTGTGGTGGGAGGTGTGTGTGCAGTGTGGGAAGCTGGGCCAAGGATAGAAGGAAGACATTCACTGAATAACTGTTTATATTGTTTGTTTCTTTTAACCATGTGACTGTATTACACATTAAAAAAATTAAATAAAATAAGCATATTTTAAAAGCTTTATGATTCAATACAAATCAAACGATGCTTTTAAAAATTCCCACTTTGTAATGGAATGGTAAATAGGCCAACTTACAAAACATCACAAAGGTTCTAGAATGAGTCTTTCTCATCTCAAATTCTTGCCCCATAACCTAGAATTTGTGATTACAGACAGGTTAATTAGCCTTTTTTATCTTTAGTTTTACTTATAAAACAGAGAAGTAATTGTACCTACCTACTAGTGCCATTGTGAAGATTAATGGTGTATTTATTTAAAGCCAAATGATACATGTAAAAGCCCTTAAGACAGTGCCCGCCAATGCTTTCCATAAGAAACAACCTCAGACTACTTATGAATACATTATTCTCCCTTCTCCACAAGTTACAATCAAATCCTCATGCCATAAAAAGAAACACTTAAGAGGAAAAACAAGACATAAAAGATTGCAGAAAATGTACTTTAATTCACATTTTCTAGATTCTGGTGGGTACAACAGTAAATTATTTGGAATTCTGTTTAAAATCAAAGCTGCACCTGTAGATATTACTTAAAATACAGTACACATAGATTTTTGTGTGTTTTGTTTTTTTTACCAAGTAATTTCCATGACACCATGCACCTGATCTGTGTATTTTGGTGAATAGCTATGGTTTCTGCAGGTACCTCAGTTTGCAAACTACTGAGAGGTTTACTGTGAACTGTTCCCAAATTTTCAGCTGAAGGCAATGCTGATGAAGATCAAAACAGCTGTCCTTTCTTATATACAGTGGCACATAGGCAAAGTTGAAAAACATGGCACAGAGTTTCATATACATACAGAGATTACAAATATCGAGTAATTCACAATGTTAAAAATGTCAAAATGTTTTGACATCCAATTTCAAAACTGTGGAGTCTATTACTATTCTGTCTGATCCTCCTCATAATATAAGAATCAAAACAGGAGAAACAAAGTTTTACCAATTTTAGTATATAGTTTGTCTAACTTACATAGATGCCACCTAAGTAAAAAATAAACTTATGCCATTGAAGGAAGGAAGATTTTCCTTTTCTTCATTTCATTACTTCATCAGTGGGTACAATCATTCCTGTCAGTTATATTATCAAGTGCTGGATTTTTAAATTAGGTGATGAGATAAAGACAAAATGCCATGAGGTATTCACCAGCAAAGCATTTTTACAATGCAAACAGTACTCTAGTATGATACCACTTCACAACGAAAGATGTGAATTGGAAAAACAGTTTATATCACAAGAACCATGAAATGTCACCAGGCTCACACAATCATTTGAGAAATAAAACACACAAAAATGTAGGGTGCTCCCTACAATCTAATTTATGATAAAATAAAGTTAATCAAAATGAATTAGAGCCTAAGAATACTTTTTTTAGTTGTGAAAAAATTAAAAACCTTAAAACGGTTTTTACTCTAACTAGATCTTTTAATTTCCTAGAATATATGCCAATATACTAGTTTTACTAAGCTTGAAACAAATCACACTACAGAAAAAAAAAATGGATATGACCAAGGATTTTCTCTAGTAAACAGAGTTTAAATAATAGCCTTTATCTTTAACTGAGAGAATGGTGAAATAACGCTATCAAAAAGTTCTTTACATTTATAGTAATAAAGTGCAAATTCTTCACATTTTTAAACTCTGAATGAACACCAAGAATAATTCTAACTTACTAGTTATATTAATTGGATATTCACTCTTTAGACAGTTTGCCCTAAGGCCCCCACCCCCACCATACAATACTTGCAACCCTCAAGAAAAAGTAGAGGGAGGGTCCACTCATGTCAGCCTTTAAACAACAAAAAATACCACTATCATCAACAACAAAACCCCAAGTTTATAAACGTTTGAAATTAGGTGAGAAAATAACTCTGAGACCTTAATACCCCACCACATCCCACCAAGAGATGTCTAAGTATTTTTAAAAGAGGGGTGAACCAACTAAATACAATTTTTTTAGATGTCACTAAATCATCAATGAGCACATTTTAGACTCTGGTAGGATAAAATACGGATTTAAGAGCACTTATTCTTTAATTCAGAAAAGACTAGTCTAAGGAAAAACTCGTGATCTTGTACCTGCATTACTTCTACACAGATGCACCCTTCCAAATTAACTGTATCTGCCGACATTTAAAAATATATCAAGATTTTAAATACTGTTTAAAGATTTTAAATCCCAGGTTTAGAAAATGACAGTTTAGGACTTAAGAGTCCTCTGTTGGTACAGATCACAGAAATTATCATTTATATACAGTGAAAACAAAAGGTGAAGGGAGAGGAAGCTTAAAGGAGACTTGACCTAATCTACCTTTTTATATATCCTGTCAGGGAAAATCTCGCTGAGTTAGAGGATTGCATAGATTGTATTCTAAAATGAATCCTTAAAAATGCTTACTTTAAGTTAAAATAGCAAATTTTGTGTATATTTTCAATTGGCATTATAAATTCGTATAGTCCCATTCAAATTGATTTCACAGAAGTAATCTGTTAAATAAATATTAATGCAATTTTTTTTCCTAAAAGTAACTGAAAATTTCCACAATGTCTTTGTCCCTAAAATATCTAGGGGCAAAGAAAAGCACAATCAAAAGGAGTTCTAAGTGAAAGAACACTCTTGGGCCAGCCCACTACACACACATGAAATCTGGCTGGGTAGCCTAGGGAAGAGGTCTTATTCACCTTTACCAAATCAGGTCCTTTAGGCTAGAAACAGCAACAATAAAAGCTACTAAAAATTGCAAATAAAAACCAATGAAATTGAAGTCCTGGGGAATTTTAAGGAATTTCTGTATGCATTGAAAGGGCCATTCATCACGGTGACAGTTCCAGATTATAGAAATATTATTTCTTTATATTATAGAAAGTGATACACACAGTCAGGCAAGGCTAAGAACACATTAAAAAGCATTGATAAGGTTTTATCATTGATTACCAGCCCTAAGCAACATTTGTTCCCTAATTCTTTTTCTGTAACAGACTGAAGAGTGTTATTAGAATGCAGACATAGCCATTTAAAGTTTGACAACTAGAAATAAAGGATAATAGAATAGAAACAAAACCAATTCTAAACAAAATAGAATTTTCAACACATGAAATTAAACACAAAATTAGTATAACTTACATGTTTTCAAAGTATATACTTCATTTATAAATATCTCGTTGATAATCTATTAACAATCATAAATATTCAAGTGAGCATTTAAATTTTCTCTTTAAGAGTTCAAAATTCTTGAAGTCAGATTAGTCTTTCTGTTGAATGTCCAAAATTAAAAGGCTTTACATAGTCATTTTATGTCTCTAGTTAGACACATAAAAGCCTTTATTACCTACTGTGTTGTAATAAGACTTTAAAATTCTGTAACTCTGTTATACTTGTAGAAAGCCTACAGAGGAAAGAAAAAGCACGTATTAGTAAGGCTAACGTGATGCATACATATTTCAAATTATTGATATTGTTACAAGAACTATAATTTGAAAGAAAAATCTAAAACACCAAATACTGAAGCTTCCATGTTTAAATTAGTTATTCTGCAATTTCTCATTAAGATTGGTTTAGAAGGGGCAAAGGAAGCCTGTTACTTGATACTATCTACAGATACTAGATTAGTAATGGAACAGTGATATAATTCTTACGAATCTCAAATCATTTATAACTGGTGTAATAAATTTATTTTCCACATTCCTCTTAAAATGACTGCTCTTTTCTCATTGTTCTCCAAGCACACTAATTTGTCTTATGTTGTCAGCTCCCTGAGGGTGAAGACTCTTATTTGTCTCCTGCTAAGTCTCTCTCCTGTGTCCCGTAGCCATTGATGCTTACAGTATTCAATAAATGATTACAGACTGATTAAATGAAGTGCTTCTCAGCCCAGGCCAAAAAGTAGAACTCTGGGATGGGAAATACAAAAAAGTAATTCTAAAAGTTCAATTATCCTTACATACAATATACAATTCAGGGGTGATAGAAAAAAAGTATTTCTTTAACTACTTGATAGAAGAAAAGTTATTCATTGAGCACTTAGGAAGAGAGACAATGTTGTAAGTCCATCACATATATGATCTCATTATAAGGAAACAAACTAGGAAAGCAGTGTTTGCCTGAGATCATACCACTACTAAATTTCATTCAGTATCTCCTGTTTCATCTTTCTACAAGGCCTCATAAGTGGATAGACTGAATTTTTTATGAAATACCAGTTATGGATAGTCTATATCTATCCTCTGTCTGAAAACTTACATAGTCATCTTTAAATACAGGGAAGCAACAGGTGAAATCCTTGCTTTAAGATGGGAAATGGGCCAGCCACGGTGGCGCATGCCTGTAATCCCAGCACTTTGGGAGGCCAAGACAGGAGGATCACTTGAAGCCAGGTGTTTGAGAACAGTCTGAACAGAGTGAGACCCCCATCTCTACAAAAAAACAATTTTTTTTAATTAGCCAGGCAAAATAGTGTGTATCTGTAGTCCCAGCTATTCGGGAAGCTCAGGTGGAAGGAATGCTTGACCCCAGGATTTGGACACTGCAGTGAGCCATGATCACACCACTGCATTCCAGCCTGGATGACAGAGCAGGTCCCTCATCTCTTAAAAAAAAGTGTGGGGGGCGGAATATACAAATTTATTTTTAATTTAACTGCTTTTTAACTTAAAACACGTTAAGAAATACAAGAAATAATCTCTGTATTACTTAGTCCCTTATTATTTTTTAAGTCTTCCTCAAGTTGACTTTCTCTTTTTCCCCAAGGAAGCATAGTAGTATTTTCTATGATTCTTTTCCTTCTATTTTGTATTCCTCAGTTGGCATTACATGTACCTCTGTAAGCAAATTCAAATTATTTTTTAAACCACTGGTGACCGATATAAACAAGCAAGCAAATTACATGTCTATATACAGAAGTAAATCATGTAGAAATGAGTGCAAGAAAAATGACTTCTGATCTTAAGAAATAGAGCAAACTGCAGAAAAAAGGTGAGAAAAGAAAAAAAATCATAATAAAAATTTAAGAAAATTAAGAAGCAGATGAAGGTTTTAATCATTTTCCTCTATCACCTTCTCAATCACACATTCCTTACTCCTGCTATTGTAGCTGAACAAGCTATAGCCAAGTAAAAAGAATATCAGAAGAATATCTTCCTCACAAAATTAAGGTAGTGAACTGAAAAACACTGGCAACTAGAAACTTAATTTTCCTATGACCTGCAGAGAAACCGACTTGTTATCATTAAGTTAGTACAGATACAATATAAAATATCTTTTTTGTGAACAAAACTAACCTTACTTTTAGCAGAGAAGATTATTTTTGCAGTTTGTTGAGATCCAATGGGAAATAAAACATCTTCAACGTTAAAATGGTTCTTACCTTCCAAAAGCATTTAAAAGAGCAACTATTTCCTGTCGGGTGAGTTGGAAGCCTTTAGATGGACTATTCTCTGGGAGCTTTTGGATTTCTTTTTCAGAGAATAATATCTTCAGGGCAGTTCCCAAACCCTGAGTCTAGAGAAAATCCCAACAAACTCATAATTAACTTTATAGAATAACTAGTATAAAGGTTTAAAGGAATATATAGCCACTATTATGACAGGAAATTCATATGAACTGAGCTTTTCACAAAAATGTTACTATATAGTTTCTCCTTTCTCACAGGTTATATATATGATAACATATCTAAGCTGTTAAGGAAACCTAAATAGTCTAACACTGATTGAATATGTATCATACTATTCCATATTTTTAAAATGCCTTTTTTAACCTTCAGAATATATTAGGATTACAATGTTCAATTTGTAACCATAAAGGACTTTTTACAGCCTTTAGCAATTCAAAACTCAGAGACTATTGATACTTACACTTAATAATTTATCAATTAGGGCCAGGCGCGGTGGCTCAAGCCTGTAATCCCAGCACTTTGGGAGGCCGAGGCGGGTGGATCACAAGGTCAAGAGATCGAGACCATCCTGGTCAACATGGTGAAACCCCGTCTCTACTAAAAATACAAAAAATCAGCTGGGCATGGTGGCGCGTGCCTGTAATCCCAGCTACTCAGGAGGCTGGGGCAGGAGAATTGCCTGAACCCAGGAGGCGGAGGTTGCGGTGAGCCGAGATCGCGCCATTGCACTCCAGCCTGGGCAACAAGAGCGAAACTCCGTCTCAAAAAAAAAAAAAAAAAATTTATCAATTATTAGCACTATAGAAAAAGAACTATTTGATTTCAGTGTAGCCTCCATTGTAATAATTGTCTTTTAATTTTCTATAAATTATCATCTTTGTAAGAAAGTAAGATAAAATATTAAACAATCCTTTTGACACTGACTTATGTAGAGTAATGGGCCTATCTTGCGGAGCCTTCCTATTTTGGCTAAGTGGCCTTCTTTTGCTCATTTAAACAAATTCAGTGATCAAGACTTGATATTTAAATCTTTTTATATAATTGCATTTTACCTTTCTATATACATATGTAAAATATTAATATACTCTGCTCGTAATGACCACTAACTTCACAAATGAATCTGGTATTGTACCAACAGTAATACAGAAACAATAAAACTAAAATCACCAAAGAATAATATGAGAATCATCCTTTCACATACACATACTTTAATATTAATTTTTTCATTAAAACAGAAAAAACGCCTTGGTTCTGCCTATTTCTAAATTCTAATTCAGTGAACAATGAGGACATTTTAATAAAAAGCTTGAACTCAGTGGAAAAATAAAGGTTAGTAATGGCTTTAAAAGAGAAGACAACACACATACCTGCAATTTTCCCCATAATCTGCATTTGTCACATCCAACACAGTCCATTATACGGGAGATATTCTTGAAATGTAATCGGAATTCCTCCTAGCAGGCAGAAAATATTTTCAGTCTAGTTAGACTTTTAAAATCAAACTGCATTTGGCTAAACTATAAGTTTTGATGCTTATTAATGAATCAGTTGTGTTTTTCATTTGTTTGAGGAGTTTCACTTTGTCACCCAGGCTGGAGTGCAATGGCGCAATCTTGGCTCACTGCAACCTCCACCTCCTGGGTTCAAGCGATTCTCCTGCCTCAGCCTCCCAAGTAGCTGATATTACAAGTACATGCCACCATACCCAGCTAATTTTTGTATTTTTAGTAGAGACAGGTTTCGCCATGTTGGCCAGGCGGGTCTTGAACTCCTGACCTCAAGCGATCCACCCACCTCGACCTCCCGAAGTGCTAGGATTAGGATGTTAGCCAACCCGACCTGACCCCAGTTGTGTTTTTCAACAGTGAGGAAAAATATTTGAACTTATATAACATGGCACATAAAATACTGACATTAATGGAAATTATAAAATCCACTCTGAATATTAATTCAATAGACTTTTCACTGAGGAGCTACTTTATACAAAGCACCAAAACTGCACTATGGGGGATACAAAAGTAAATAATACATGGTCTTTACTTTGAAGGAACATAACTGCTGCTTTCATCTGGTATTTACAGACAACCAACGATAACTATGTCTAGTTTGTGTTTCACTTATTTTTGATCCTTTGCTTTGTGTAAGCCTGTATCAGAAAGCTAGTCCTAGAACAATGGCCAATTTTTGTATCATTCCTTAGAACCACACTATGTTTGTCATGGTTACTCAATCAACATGAATAACAGGCCTGTGTGAGACATATGGTCCCACAGTTCTCTACGTTTGCTAATGCAGATTATATGGAGATGCTTACTGGATCCCTCTATTTTGCTGTAATAGTTTCCTACACTGGCCGGGTACGGTGGCTCACGCCTGTAATCCCAGCACTTTGGGAGGCTGAGGTGGGCAGATCACTTGAGGTCATGGGTTCAAGTCCAGCCTGACCAACAGAGTGAAACCTCATGTCTATTAAAAATACAAAATTAGCCGGGTGTGGTGCCGCATGTCTGTAATCCCAGCTACATGGGAGGCTGAGGCAGGAGAATCGCTTGAACCCGGGAGGCAGAGGTTGCAGTGAGCTGAGATCATGCCACTGCACTTCAGCCTGGGCAACAAGAGTGAAGCTCCATCTCAAAAAATAATAATTTCCTACACTGGAGAAACTCTTCTGCCTGTAAGAATCTGTGTGCAATATACCCTTAAGGTTAGTCTCACCTTATGTGGGGATAAGATTAAGAGAAAATGTTCTCATTTGTTTCACATGGCAACTGCAGAAAATAAAAATCATTTTATTTTGCATCGAGGGAAATATTTTATTGCATGAAGCTGGAGGCAAGTAGCCTGAAAACTGGCTACCACAAGCCCTGGCCAGATGCCCAAAGGGTTGAAAGGAATCAATATCTTGGCAAAGAAAGACAATATAAATAGAACACAAAAAACTCCTGTGCTGGTCATACTCTCATGTAATACAAGTTATTTGTAGTAGATGGAAAATGGACATAGGTTCTCCATGCATCCTTGAAAAGTAGCAAACAAAATCCCAGCATTGTGTAGTCAAAAGCTTGTTGTGAGACTTTAGGCCTTCCTTAGTCTTGCTTTCTGCATTTACAAAATATACGTAATTACAGTTGCCCTGTTACACAAGATTGTTCAGAAGATTAGAAGTAGAACATATGTGTTGATACTTAGAAAACAGAAGCACTATAAAAATGAATTAACATTAAACACCAAAATGGCAATACGCCTCTAAAACAACTATAAAAGAAAACAATCCTCCAACACTAAAATGTAGTTGTAGCTAAATTCTGTGATTCTCACCAATGGAGAATCACTCAGTATTAATTTATTGGTTCCTATAGTACCATCCACATCTAAAACATCTTGGGGTCAAATGTGTTTTAGAATTCATAAGTTTTTAGATTTTAGAAATACAGTACACGTACTATAGATTATGAAACATCTCACCAGAGTGTAAGCAAACACCCTGCAGTCAAATCCATTAATGTTTCTGTAGCAAAATGTAAAAAAATTCATACAAAGCAGAATTTGAAAAACAAAATACCCCACAAAACTATGAATATCTGCTATATTCTTACATTGGTTTAGGTCAGGTTTGGCTAAAAAATTACCTTGCACCAAACATGAGAAAATGTTTCAGTTTTTGAAACCATCTGGACTTCAGAAGTGCATATAAAAGACTGTGAAGATGCACTCAAAGTACATTTGCAGCCAGGTGCAGAAATCCGAGGGACTTGGGAGGCCGAGATGGGAAGACAGTTTGAGGCCAGGAGTTTGACACCAGACTGGGCAACATAGTGAGACCCCATCTCAAAAAATAAATTTAAAAGTTGAAAAGAAAAGAATATCTGCCAGTCAATTTCAAATACTTTTATGAATATTGTTTATATTAGAATAAAAAGAATCCCTAACATGAAGTTTAGTAATGTTCCTAAAATATATTTTCCTTCTGATACCACATGTTAACAGGTAATTTTTACCTTTTAAATTAGTCCAACAGGACAAAAACATAATAGTTTCAAAAACTAACATTCCGTAAAGTACACTTTAAAAAAATACATTACTAATTGCCCTAAAAGTGGCTAAAAGCTCATGGTATTTTGAAAGATGCATCAAACAACAATATACACTGATTTTGAACTAAGAAAACTTTCCCTCAACTAGTATCTTTTAGAAAGATACTTATAAAGATTTTATACTTATTGGCCTGTACTAATGACCAACAAGTCACTAAGCAGTTGGTCAACAGAAACTGAGAAAGAAATATGAAAAGGGCTTTTTTGTATTATTTATAGTAAAAATCCAGTCAGATGAACTTCAAAAAGCTGGAAAACTGGAAAAAGAAAATAGTTTAGATTAACAACGTTAAAACATAACGAGTAAACTGCTCCCAACCCTGTGTCCCAATCAAGAACTTTTTACCTTTAATGATTTGGCCCCTTTTTTGTCACCTGCAAACATGGATTTCTCATCAAAGTGCATGGGAAAGGACCTGATGAAATGACAGTATTGTAATAAGTCATACATGAAAAATCCACGTACTCTGTATCAGAAATCTGATAAAATTTTCTATCCTTACAAATATTTAAAATGCATTACTTACTCTGATGTAAGGTTTGGTAATGTAAGAAGGTGACAAACAGTTCACATGTAAACTATTTTATAAATGATTAAAGCAAGATACAGATGGCTGTTAAATTTGGTAAGATGGTAATGTTTTAAATAAATGACATAAGGTAACCTAAAAAATTAACTGAAAATCCAGGTAAAAAATAGGCAATATTCTCTTAATATTTTTTAAAAATTTAATACATTAAATGCTTCTTGATCTAACTTTTCTCCTCCATGCTTATGTTAACAACCAGTAAACTCAAGTTTTCTAGACCAAGCATTTTTTTTTTAAGGTTACATTCTAAAAAGTAAAGTTGCATAGGTACATACACCCCAGAACCTAAAGTACAATAAAAAAAAAAATTATGTATGTATATATATAATAAAATAAATAAATAACTTTCCTGGAGAAAAAAAAGTTATATTTTAAAAAGTTAGGCTAATGTTCCCTTATCCTTCTCAATGCAAACACACATATAATATCACCTAAATTTAAATACAGTGACTAGAGGCCTCGATGGCTCATGCCTCTAATCCCAGCACTTTGGGAGGCTGAGGAGGGTGGATCACTTGAGGCCAGGAGTTTGAGACCAGTCTGTCCAACAAGGTGAAACCCCATCTCTACTAAAAGTACAAAAATTAGCTGGGAGTGATGGCTCACACTTGTAATCTCAGTTACTCGGGAGGCTGAGGCACGAGAATTGCTTGAAACCAGGAGGTGGAGTCTGCAGTGAGCCGAGATTGTGCCACTGCACTCCAGCCTGGGCGACAGAATGAGACTCCATCTCAAAAATTAAATAAGTAAATAAAATGACTTAGAAGAATATAAAATTGGTAAGACCATGAAGTAGCATTAAATTTTCATACAACGTTTAGCGATACTTTAAAGCAGTATTCTGAAGTGTGAAAATTTCTGCAAAAAGCACCTTATTGATGTTTTTTCATCTACATTTTTAGAACTATTTTTAAATACTGTTGTTCTATTGATCACTTTCCTTTTTTGTTCTACTCTCTCTTGGGCTAACTTTTAGGAGTCAGTTTTTGTGTACTTTTAAGTGCTACCTCATGTGAATGGAGTGTGGAGAATTTCAAATCACAGATAGTCAATTCTTACTTTGTATCTTGAAAGATATTCAGCAGAAGAGCTTTTGTGTCAGCATCTTCTTCTACATTTCCAGTGTAAAGATCGACAACTGAGCGCTCAAAATATGGAGCCACCTTTGACAAAGCTCGAAGCTCAATCAAGTATAAAAAGTAAAGATTCTTGAGCCTTCTTGGACCTTCTCCCTTGGTTTCCACAGGATCAAAGCGGCGTTTGAATTCTTTAATATTAGGTCCCCAACTGGGCTTACCCCAGGTTTCTGAAGAGAAAGAGAAATACATTATTTTAGTAAATAGGATTTTTTTCTGATCTAAAGGATATGTATTCCCTCCAGTAATTTTTACACTAATAGAAGGCAAAATCTCCACTTAAAAATATGCTTACCTTCCAAAAGATAGTTTGCACACAGATGTAAATTGATGCTAGCATGAAGTCCTGATATAAGCTTATAGAAGACTCTTTTCTCCAGACACAAACCTATTCAGAAAAACATTGAAAAAGAAATCATACCCATTTAGATATCAGAAATACTGCCTCCAGGAGGTTTGGTACATAGGCTTATTTTTAAGCAAGATTCAAGAACATTAAAATAAATCAAGGAATAACATAAACCTGATTACAGATCAAGATTCTCTCACTAGAAAGCAAAGTAAGATTTTGGCTTCAGAATGGAGTTAACTGAATATGATGAGAACATAACGCTGAAAAAAGCAGAAAAGTTTGGGCAACTGGAGGCCAAAACACTATGGATACACCTGGCAAGTTCCCATGTTACCCAGCCAGCAACAGCACAGGTTTTCTTGTGGTTTAGGCTGAGAACTTACTAAAGTAAATGTAATTGTAAAGTCATTGGATTGTTTTCTTTTCCCTTCCTTATATGTATTACGCTAGCAGAGAAATAAGGGTCTTATTAACTTCTGCCCTGGAATTGTCTAATTTTTTAACCATACGTTCTACTTGCAAGGAGCTGAAACTTGGAAAACAGAAATCCAAGAATTTTCACTAATTAAAAAAAACACATGATGACTACTTACTACTTGAGCAGAATCATAACAGATGGAGTGCAGAAATATAACAGAATGTTATTTGATGTAGCCTTAAGCTACAGAGGCTTTTTTTTGCTAAGAACTTAAGAGGTCAAAATAGCCCACCATCCTATCCTAACCCCTGATGCCATTTTAAAAGAGTTTCTCTCATAATAAGAGTAATACACATTGTGAATGTACTTAATATCACAGAACAGTAAACTTAAAAATGATTAAGATGGTAAATTCTATGTTATATATACCTCACCACAATAAAAAAAACTCCAGAAAATATTCTTTATAGAAAAATTTTAAAGTAAATAAAAATGCAGGAAAGTAAATTTTAAGAAGTGACTGGATCTGAGGCCATTACTTTTTTCCTCCTTCAATACCCAACAGGTTTTTAACACTTTTCCCATGCAGGAAAATTGGCTTTAATATAGTAGAAAGTCTCACTTATATGCTGGCGGAATTTTTTTTTAATGTAAGAGTGTTTATGTGGCTTACTTTGTGTTTATTCAAGATGTTTTAGCCATTTACTCTCTCCTTCTGTGCTATCACAGTTGATTCTGACACAAATAGCCTCTAATTGGAAAAAATAATTCTTTTAAGATCTCGTTCCCTAATGCGGAATTCCTGCTAGAATATTTAAATTGTCATGGATGGGGACCAAAAGAAATTAAATTTTGTAGCTTCCTCCTAAAAGTATATGGCAATTTTGAACGTTTACGATAACAATAGGTACAAACAATATGAATACATTTAATACAACATTAAGTACTAACTTCTCCTCTATTAAAACTTTTAATCAAATCTATTATCAAGTAACAAAATATCAGATTTGAAGTTCACTTGTTTTCTTCCCAACCCCTCTAAGCAGTGCTTATGTCCAATAAAATGGATAAAGACTAGAAAAGGGACAGTAAGCAAAGCAAAACTCACGAAAATCCATATGCCTACAAACCAGGACCCGGAAAACTGGGAGGCAGTTATAATTCGCAAAGCCCACAAAGCCCCTACACTGACATGGGGTAGGGGATAAGTGAGGGGAGAGGAATAGAATGTATTTCCACAAACTGTGAAAAACAGGTAAATTCAACCAGATTAATAATAAAATATGCACCAACTAAGTATACCCAGACATACAACACACTTAGCCGGAAGTTGCTGGAGAGTTTCTCCTCGCCTATAGTCTGTGCCAGGCTGGATCGCATCTTTAATTACTGAGGCCCAGGCAAAAGCCTTCTCAATCTCGCTCTGAAGTAACATCCGCAAAAGCTGACTTAAGAAGGGAGAATCTACCAACTTCTAACAACACACAGCAAATTTAATTACACAATTTAGAAAATGGTTCTCTTCTTCCACTTTCTGACTTAATTTCAGTAAAATCCATTTCCAACAACTGAATTCTCTGAAAGGGGTTGCATTTACTGTAACAGTAATATTTGGCATTTGGACATGGTTTAGTGGTTTCCAAAGGAACCTTTACAGGCATCATCTACACTCACAGTGTAAGTTAGTAGGATTGCTACTGCTACTCTCCAAGCTCCAGATGAGGAAACTGAATCTCAGAAAACGCTGAGTCAGTTGCCTGTAAGGGAACGCTCTTTGGAACCATGTATCAATATTCAGGTACTAAACAACAGTAAGACTGGAAGAATGGTTGTTGATATAGTGTATGTAGAATCCAATACTGTTTCTAAATTTCATTCTCATTATTAGCACTCAGAATCTGTGACTACCTCTTCTAGCCTAAATGCTACTTTCCACAATTTCTATCTTTAGAGTACAGTTTAATAATTAAACAAAGCTGAATATCTTCTACATAAGCAATTTTCCCATATAACTCCTAACAGAATTTGCACATCAATAATGTTCACTTTAATAATGGTCAACATATGTACATAGTTCATCATAAACAAAGAAATAGACCAGGTGGTGGCTCACACCTATAATCCCAGCACTTTGGGAGGCTGAGGAGGGTGGGCAGATCACTTGAGGCCTGGAGTTCAAATCAGCCTGGCCAACATGGTGAAACCCCATCTCTACTAAAAATGCAAAAATTAGCAGGGCATGGTGGCGGGCGCCTGTAATCTCAGCTACTTGGGAGGCTGAGGTATGAGAATCACTTGAACCTGGGGGCGGGGGCAGAGGTTGCAGTGAGCCACTACACTACAGTCTGGGCAACAGCAAGACTCTGACTCAAAAAACAAACAAAAAAGAAATAATATTACTAAGATAACATGATGAATTGACATTCATAAAATAGAATAAGTATTACTCTGTAGTATTCCTATAAGGTTACGGCTATGAAATGTCAATTTTCCTATGTCATTCAACTTGCTTATCTTTTACTAATATATTTTAATTTTTAATTTCATAAATGAATGGCAATTTGGTAAGGTAAATTTTTAAAAGCATCATATATCCAGTTATTAACCTAAGTTACTAAAATTCTACAACATTTCACCTTTCCATTAATAGCATTTGATATTTTCAACACTGGAAGTACAAGAATGCAAAAGTATCTAACACATCAGGATCTATATTGCTTTATCTTTTAATTAGGCAAGGTTAGACTATATTAACATGGGCAAACATGTTTAGAACCTTTTGAATTCATATTTATCTTCCATTAATTTTATATAGAAAAAGTACTTCTTTCGAAAAGGAATGCCTCCACTTTTAAAATATTTTGTATACTGGCTACTAGAGTAGTAGTCTGAATGAACATTACATATAGAACAGAAATAAGATTAGTGAACCAGCTATGAAAACCTGATGACAGTATTTGGCCTGTGTATTTATATAAACCTGGTTTTTAGTTGACCACTATCTTCAAATTTTTCACATAATTTTATCCCCATATATATTAACCTAAAACACATGTTGTTTTCTTTCAAACACTGTCAAAATTAGTTGACTAGGTAATAAAATCCTAAATCTTACAAAAATATGCTAAATAAATCGGTGTTTTTCTTTTTACAAAAATCCAATTTAGAACAGAATGTTTACCTTCTAGCCATGTGTAGAATGACTCCCCTGAGAGAAAGAGAGAGAGACAAAATTGGATTAAAATATTATATGGCCATTTGTAAACTAGAATAATTTAGGTGTATAAAATATTTCTGCAGGGCATGGTGGCTCACGCCTGCAATCCTAGCACTTTGGGAGACCGAGGCAGGTAGATCACATAAAGCCAGGAGTTCAAGACCATCCGGCCAACTTGGCGAAACCCCATCTCTACTAAAAATACAAAAAATTAGCCAGGTATAGTGGCTCAGACCTGTAATCCCAGCTACTTGGGAGGCTGAGACAGAAGTGCTTGAACCCAGGAGGCTGAGGTTGCAGTGAGCCAAGATCATATCACTGCCCTCTAGCCTGGGTGACAAAGTGAGACCGTCTCAAAAACAAAACAAAACAAAAAACAACAACAACAAAGAGAAATGTATGAGAGATTAAGTAATCTCTCTAAACTGTCTACTGCTTCAAGTAAAATTTAAAAAAATAGGCATATGGTTCTAGGAAATAAATCCTACAAATAATTTAAGTAGCTTGAAGAGTGTTTTTACAAATGATATTTTGACTATTAAATTTTTTAAGAAAACATTTCAGTCAAAATATTACGAGTTGGGCACAGTGGCTTGGACTTGTAGTCCCAGCTAACTCAGAGGGTTGAGGCGGAAGGACAACTTGAGCCCGGAGTTCAGATCCAAGCTGGGCAACATAGCATGATCCTGCCTCTTTAAAAAAAAAAAAAAAGCATATAAATCTTATTTTTTTGAAGGTTTAAGCATCTTATTCATTGAAGGTTTAAGCATCTGAAAACATAGGGGCAAACATTTTTAACAATCTCAAATGTGCTTTTCCTAACAACCATAGTGCTTTTTAAATATTTGAAAAATAGTGAATTTATAATTAATATAAACATCCAACTATTGATTATTCCATTTTCCCTAATCCAATAAAACTAAGTATATTTCCTCAATTTTCTAAGATGAATAAGTTTTAAGGGACAGCTAAAAAAAATTCCTTAATTTTCAATGTAATTTTTCAGGAAAGTTAATATTAATAGAATGGAGAAGGGCTTGACTAATCTGTTTACCAATGCTGTAAGAACTATTCCTGGGGTTGGAGAGATGCAGGTCAAGGGATACAAAATATCAGTTAAAGAAAAGTAGTTCAAGAGATCCGTTGTAGAGTATGGTGACTATAATTACAACATATTGGATTCTTGAAAACTGCTGAGATTTTAAGTGTTTTCGGCAAATAAAATGACGTGAACAACTTAGCTCAATATAGCCATTCCACAATGTATACATATTTCAATACATCATGTTAAACATGATACAAATATGTAATTTTTATTTGTTAACTTAAAAAAAGAACCATTCCTGGCCCTACATCCTTCTTCTGAGGTGGGGGTGGGGGGAGTGGTCAGTAAGAATCAAAATTGTTAATGCACTTCCTGACTTACCTATCCTTGTTTTTTAAAATTGAGAATGATAGAAATTATAGAAAAACCGAACACACAGATGAGCCGAGTAAGACGTCTAAGGGATAAATTAGATGGTGGGGAATTACTTTGCCTACTGAGAGGCTTCATACTGTACACAACAATGAAAACATCTAACAGATTAATTCATTCAACATATACTAAGGATCATTTATCACTGTATCACTTGTGATTCAAAAAACCTCAAGTGCCAACAGGAAAAGCCTAGTACCCAATGTACTAAAAAACATGGCCTCTATCAATCTTTCTAAATTTAAATGACCACCATATAGTCTTACCTACCACTAAAAGGGTCTCTTTACTATCTCCCTAAACATGCCTTTCTCTTTCTCAACTCCTAGCTATTCATGCTGTTTCCTCCAACACGTACTGTCCAATTCTATTGATCTAAATCTTTCCCATTATTCAAAATTCATCTCAAACACTACCTCCTCCAGTAAGCTTTACCGTATCACTCCTGTGAGATACGATCTGTTTCTCCTCTAAGGAGCTCTATATTACCTACCATTTATACCATGTGTGGAGTATTTCTTCACCTCATTACCACTGTTTATGTACAGTGCTTATCTTTCCTACTATCCTATACATCCTCAGCTCATACAGAGAAATGGCTATTTTGGGGGTATCTTTTAACCAACATTCATTCAGTAATCAATTGTTGATAAATGGCTCATCATCAGATTATTATATTGATAACTGAGATTAGAAATTTCAAAGTCAGTAAGAAAATAAAGAGGTCACAAAACAAATGATCTGGTAAAACTACCTTAACTTCTTCCCATTTCCTCAGAACATATTCAAGTAAATTAAATAATAACCAGAAAATGGGGAACTTGGAATATGAATCTGATTTATAAACTAAGCATTTAGGTAATATATTTTTTTTTTTTGGAAACACAGGATAACTTTCTATATACATATACATAGATATATATAATCTTTTTTTTTGTTACCATTCATTAGTAGCTATTTTCTTAAAAAATAGAAATACTTTCTTTTGAAAATAGAAATACTTTCCTTTTATGTAAAGGAAAAATCAAATTCTATTTGTTAAAAAATATTTCCTCCACACTTGAAGCAAACACAAACATGAGTTTTGCTCACCATCATCTTCACCTAAAAGAGAAAATAAAAAAGATTTCAGAAAATGTCTTACATAGCTCAGATCCCACTACTATTTTTTTGAGACTACAACTGTTAAACTATTAATTATATCACAAACCTTGGTCAGTGAGTAGACATCCTGCAAATGAGTCCTCTTAATTAGAATATAGGCCAAAGAGTATAACATTTGCACATTTTGAACAGGCGCAGTGGCTCATGCCTGTAATCCCAGCACTTTGGGAAGCTGAAGTGGGTGGATCACCTAAGGTCAGGAGTTTGAGACCAGCCTGGCCAACATGGTGAAACCGTGTCTCTACTAAAAATACAAAAATTAGCTGGGCCTGGTGGCACACACCTGTAATCCCAGCTACTTGGGAGGTTGAGGCAGGAGAATCGCTTGAACCCAAGAGGCGGAGGTTGTAGGGAACAAAGATCGAGCCATTGCACTCCAGTCTGGGCAACAAGAGCAAAACTCTGTCTCAAAGAAGGAGGAAAAAAAAGATTTGCATATTTTTTAATACAATAAAATATCAGAAACCAACTAAAAATAGTCATAAAGACCACTATTTTCAGTAATTAATTAACATATATGACGTGGCTCCTTTAATCATTATGTACACAGCCCTCTCTGAATGCGACTGTTCCCATCCTGGAATCTTTTTCCCTTCTAAATTACTGCTCCTCAGCATAGATATGCCTTGTGAAGAGGAGATCCCAAACTGTAATCAGTGAAACCCTTGGCAGGGTGCTGCTTCAGGGAGGCCTGGAGGTGCGGAAGAGTCCAGAGGTTGGGCTCTAGGGCTACCACAGCAGCTCTGCGCGTCACTGGGTTCTGAAAAAAGATTTCAGCTGTGAGGCAAAAGTAGTAAAAGAGACAAAGAATAAGACGCCAGGCATGCCTTTTAACATGCCCAACTTCCTCCTCCAGGCAGTTTCAATATGAATTTGGGGAAAAAGAGTATTTGCCACATTGTGACAGAGTGAGCAAACCCTTCCAAGTCCATTTGGCTCTCAGAAAGGTCTAAAGATATCAATTTAGACCAGGAAATTAAACTTCTTAAAACACTCTTGGTCTAATTGGAATGGCAGATCAATTACAGGGTTGCTCCCACGGTTTGGTTCCTCATTGAGAATAGAATGAGGATGTACCCCACTGATGACAGTAATGCTGTTCCATTGAAACAAAATGCCAGCCACAAGTGTTAATTTAAAATGTTTCCAAAAGACACATTTTTAAAAGTCAAAAGTATACACACCACAACAAAAATATGTTACATGATGCAAAGGTATAGCAGTCTTACCAAAACAATAAGGTTCTGTTTAACGGCAATATGGTTTTTACATCTAAATAAACTAAGATTAAATAAAATTTAAAATTCAGTTTCACACTTGCCAATTTCATGTGTTCACCAGTCCCATGTGGAAACTGGTTACTTTATGCCTTATTATAAAGTAATACACTTCTAAAATTGTTGTACGTTTTTCCTACTGAGTGTGGCATATGAATCAGCACCTGGGAGCTTGCTAGACTCTTGGGCCTCACCCAAGATCTACAGAATCAGAACTTGTATGTCTACAAGGCTCCGAGGTGACCTGTATGCACCCTGAAGTCTAGAAGCACTGTTATGAAACATCGGTTGTCAAACTTGGTTGCACAGTAGAACCATCTGGAGAGTTTAAAAAAAAATACCAACGCCTGCAGTTCTCATTCCAAGGATTCTGACTTAACTGGAATAGAGTAGGGCCTGAGATTTTTAAGAGGTCCCCAGGAAATCTGACATATATTGATTACTTACGTATTCTAATTATTTTACATAAACTTCCTAGTTTAGAGTCTGGCACATACACACACTCAGTAAGAGTAATTATGTAAAACATGCCTAGAAATCTTGAGACCTGACTATGAACTAACCTTATACTTTTTGTTCGTCATTCAAACTAACCAAAATATAAAATTGAAAGTTTTTTTCAATATAAAGTTTAGTTACAAAGACATTTTATAAACAATGAAAAGCATGAAAATGCACATATGAAAAACCTACCACGGCTAGGTGCCAGAGGATTTAAAGGACGATAAACAGATCGAGGCCTGAAAAAGAAAGCATAATACCCAAATGTAAAATGGTTTGACTATTGTAGTATATAATTTTATTCCAACAGAAACACATACTACTCTCCGCACCCTCTCATTTTGTTTTTTGAGACGTAGTTTTGCTCAGTCCCCCAGGTTGGAGTACAACGGCATGATGTCCGCTCACTATAACGTCCTCCTCCCGGGTTCAAGTGATTCTCCCGCTTCAGCCTCCCAAGTAGCTGGGATTACAGTCACCTGCCACTATGCCCAGCTAATTTTTTTGTATTTTTAGTAGAGAAGGGGTTTCACCATGTTGGCCAGGCTGGTTTTTAACTCCTGACCTCAGGCGATCCGCCTGCCTTGGCCTCCCAAAGTGCTGGGAGTACAGGCGTGAGCCACCACACCTGGCATCTCCCCACCCTATCAGTCATTCCTTCTTCCCCCATCCCCTCCAGTTACTTGAAACAGTTCTCTTCATAGATGCTGTTCCACACTCTCCATGCAGAGGTCCCTTTATAGCCAGTGTAACGCTCTGGATTCAGCAATAGGTCTACATACTGAGCAGCTGGAGATCTCTCATCTGAACAACAAACAATTCATAAAAACCATCTATATTTCACCATTTATTTAAAATTTAACAGTACAAAGCAAACCAGACTACCCAAAGGTAAGAGAAATACCATGCTTTTCAAGTAATCTCCAACTTAAATGATATAGTGGTTAGTATACTTGTGACTGTATTTGACTCAGGATTTGTAATGACTTGGACAAATTCCTTAAGAAAAAACGGCTCTTCCATTTCCCTTGGATACTCAAGTGCTCTTTTAAGTAACATCCCCTTCATCTTATTAGAGATGTGAATCATTTAAGTTTTAACCACCCAGGATTGAAAAGACCAAACAAAATCATAATCTGCTTTAATATTTCATATGATTTCTTCCCTAAGAATATACCTACCTAACCACACGCTTAGTAACATTTTGTAACACATATTGTATTAGAAAATGGAAATTTCCTTGCTACTCTCTGCTGCGACTTACAAAGTACATGGCTCCATAACTTTGTGATCCAAATCTGATTACTCATAAAGCTATACCAATGCTCTAGTTTTAAAAAAATATGTATTAGTATTTTTACTGATGTTAAGGTATTGAAGTGCTTTTTCCGCTCTCAAACTAAAACATAGTAGGCACAACTTTCAAAAACTTGTTGAAATATTTAAAATTAAATAACCATTTTCCATATGGAAACCCAAATGAGTATTTACCAGATCTCCACTATTTGGATTTTTTGAGACACGGTCTTGCTCTGTCGCCCAGGCTGGAGTGCAGTAGCACAATCTAGGCTCACCACCGAGTAGCTGGAACTACAAGCATGCTCCAACAAGCCCAGCTAATTTTTATATTTTAGTAGAGGCAGGGTTTCATTATGTTGGCTAGGCTAGTCTCGAACGCCCAATCTTGTGATCTGCCCGCCTCAGCCTTCCAAAGTGCTGGATTACAGGCATAAGCCACCACGGCTGGCCCTATTTGGACATTTTAATTGAGATCTTTGAAGAATACAAAAGGTTTAAAAAATAATCTTAATTACTGAGGCTCACATTCTGAATAGAAATGGAAAACATATACTTTTCATACCTAAAAAAAAAAAAAAGACCGTGCCTCACACATGTATGCTCATAATACATATAAGCTCAAGTGTTATATACGATGGCACAGATATATTCCTTTATGTGCTAACCGTTTGTTGTCATGAGTATAAACAATAGTACATAGGCAGCTGGTTTAAAACAGGGATCAAATATAGTCATTAAATGTCCTTCCATTAACTGATAATATATTTTCCTGTCAGTAAACAATATTCCCTGGACAGTCAATGACCACAGACTGGGATTATCCATGATCATAAGAGCAAAACAGCATCTTGATCCGTAACTTCCAAGAATCACCGGGCACTTTTTGTTTTTGAGACAGAGTCTTGCTCTGTCGCCCAGGCTGGAGTGTAAAGGCTCACATCTCAGCTTACTGCAACCTCCATCTCCCAGGTTCAAGCAATTATTCTGGCTCAGCTTTCCAAGTAGCTGGAATTACAGGCACCCACCACCATGCCCAGCTGATGTTTTGTATTTTTAGTAGAGACGAGATTTCACCATGTTGGCCAGGCTGGTCTTGAACTCCTGACCTCAGGTGATCCACCTCCTCAGGTGATCCACCCGCCTGGCACTTTCATGATGTAGGAAGAATACAATGATAATTAACAATTTAGTATATTTAACGGATTACATATAATTTAGTAGAAACATGATTTTGCAGGCTGTAAGAATACTGGCTCTATTTCTAGCTCTAAATCTATATAGATGTTCCACTATAAAAAATAAGGCAAAGAAAACAATTTACAGATGGATAGAAAAAACTGTCCAAGAACACAGATTGACTCAGAACTCAAAAACAATAATTTTTAAAATCTTAATTTAAAACATTCAAATTATGGGAAAAAAAGTATTAAACGTATTACATGTACATCTATGACATGTATGGCACACGACACATATGGCATGCACATGACACATGTAACATGTACACATGCATGGCACGTACTACACATGACACATGACATGCACACAGCACATATGGCATGTACATGACACATACATGACATGTATGTCACACATGTCATGCGCGCAACACTTGTCATGTATGTGCGCATACATGTCACGTAACATGCATGACACACGCCATATATGACAACACGCGACACGACACGTACTTGTAATGCATGGCACTTACAAGACACACGTGTAATGCATGACAGGCCATACACGACACGACTCATACATGTCATACATGACCACGCAGGCCACACGTTATACATGGCGCATCTGTCATACATGACATGAAACAAACGACACGCACGTCATGTGTGTCATGTGCCATGTGAAACCTACATGTCCCCATACATGACACACAACAGCACATACACTACATGGCACATACATGTCATACATGCCAGACATGGCACATGACACTGCGCAAATGTCACCATTAAATTCTGGCTGCAGACCCAGTGTGCCATACATGTCATATGTGTAATGTGTATGTATTGCACCCATGACACACACATGTATTGTATGTTACATGTGCACAACATGCACACGTTATATGTATAACATGCATGTTACATGTGTATGAAATGTGTGTATTGCATGTATAACATATACGTGTATATTTTTTCAAAGTTTCACTTTGTTGCCCAGGCTGGAGTGCAGTGGTGCCACCTTGGCTCACTGCAACCTCCACCTCCCAGGTTCAAGTGATTCTAATGCCTAGCCTCCTGAGCAGCTGGGATTACAGGTGCCTGCCACCATGCCTGGCTAATTTTTGTATTTTTTGGTAAAGATGGGGTTTCACCATGTTGGCCAGGCTGGTGTCAAACTCCTGGCCTTAAGTGATCCACCCGCCTCAGCCTCCCAAAGTGCTGGGATTACAAGTGTGAGCCACTGTGCCCAGTCAAATTATGAAATGTAAGTATGGCTTTTGATAGGCACTAGTCCCAGTTACTTGCGAGGATGAAGTGGGAGAACTGCTTGAGCCCAGGAGTTGGAGGCTTGTCAACTATGATGGCACCACTGCACTCCAGCCTGGGCAACACAGCAAGACCCTGTCTTTAAAAAAAGTATGGCTTTTAGTAAAGAAATAAAAAATCTTAAAATTCAGTATTTAATTTTTAAGTAGTATAGTTTTAATTTTCATAAGCTACTCCTGAATAAATTCATCTGCAAAACTGAATTATATATAAGCTTCACAATTAAATGTAACATTATCTTCTCTGATGCATATATATCTATGTACATATTTATAAATTTGTGTGTGTACATTTAAGACTATAAGTGTATAGAGTCCCCTACAAATGCGCAACCTCTTCACTTAACAAAACTAAATAACCAATAAAGAAAAATCATGGTTCAGATATTAAACCATGGTGATATAAAATATACTTTAAGCCGGCCGTGGTGGTTCATGCCTGTAATCCCAGCACTTTGGGAGGCCAAGGCGGGTGGATCACAAGACCAGGAGATCGAGACCACCCTGGCTAACATGGTAAAACCCTATCTCTACCAAAACTACAAAAAATTAGCCAGGTGTAGTGGCATGGGCCTGTAATCCCAGCTACTCAGGAGGCTGAGGCAGGAGAATCACTTGAACCTGGGAGGCAGAGGTTGCAGTGAGTTGAGATTTCGCCACCACACTCTAGCCTGGGTGACAGAGCGAGACTCCATCTCAAATAAATAAATAAATAAAATGAAATAAAATATACTTTAAGGGAGCTAAAAAAAAATCACAAGAGAAAAATCAACTATATCTGGTTTTTCATTTTTTTTTTTTTTTTTAATATGGTCTTACTATGTTGCCCAGGCTGGACTTGAACTCCTCAGCTCAAGCAAGCCTCCTGCCTCAGCCTCCCAAATAGCTGGGACTCTAGGTGCTCACCACAACACACAGCTCAATTATATCAGTTTTTATAACTACTTTAAGTAAAACTTACATTTTCAATGTTCTTAATGTTTGCTCCCTTAGTTCAATCAATAGTTTAAAAAAAATCTTGTAATACTTTTTCAAATCATGAAAAGGGTGGGTTTTGCTAACCAATACAAGCAAGAAGTTTGCAAACTACAGCTCATGTGCCCAATCTGGCCTGCTGCTTATTTTGGTAAATAAAGTGTTCATGGAACACAGCCATGTTCATTTGCTTATATAGCGCTTTCACACTATTATGGCAGAGATAAGTAATTGCAACACAGATCCTATAGTCAGTCTATAAAGCCTAAAATAGTTACTATTAGTCCATTTACTTAAAAACTTACCAACCTCTGCTCAATACGGACAAGAATTTCACAGGACAATCCAGAGTGAGCAAAGTGTGTGGGAGAAAACATCTACAGGCCAAATTCTCTACAAACCCAGTAGTTGGTATTGCCCACTCCTACCCCTGGGCCATCTGCAACGTGGATTTTAATTTCTTCCTGAACTGCAACTTGTCTCAGTTTGTTCAGATTATCTAACCATTTACTGAATTATCTAGCCATCTACTATGTCCTCCCCACAAAAGTTTTACTTCTGTCTGTACAAAGCAGCTTCATAATTCCTTATTCTGGGAATTTATTGAGTTGAAATAGTGTTATTTCCTCCTCTTCAAATTTTTTTTTTTTTTTTTTTTTTTATTTTTTTGAGATGAGTCTCACTCTGTTGCCCAGGCTGGAGTGCACTGGCACAGTCTTGGCTCGCTGCAACTTTGGCCTCCCAGGTTACAGCGATTCTCCCACCTCAGCCTACTGAGTAGCTGGGACTACTTTAAGGGTACACCACTATGTCTGGCCAGTTTTTGTATTTTTAGTAGAGATAAGGTTTCGCCACGTTAGCCAAGATGGTCTCAAACTCCTAACCTCAGGCGATTCACCTGCCTCAGCCTCCCAAAGTGCTGGGATTACAGGAATGAGCCATCGTGCCTGGACCTCAAGTATACGATTTTTACTAACTGAATTTCCTTCTCACTGTCCTAATTTAATAGTTATGAGGTCATATCACATTTTCTAGGATATTAAACATTCCTCCCTACTTCCTAACTCATGTATCTCTTAAACATAATGGTGGCATATATAGACAACTTAGTGTGCAGGCTCTTTGCTATGGTCACAGATAAAAAAAAAATACTGTATTATAGACTCAGGGTTGAGCTTGAAGCCCTCCATCACCAACCCTAACCCAAACTGCTACTAACTCACTGTTAAAATATGATTTACAGTTAAGGAGAAGCTACAGTTGATAAAGCTCTCAAGAAATTTTGACACACAACCAGATTTACAAACTGCTGTTTTGAACATTTATTAATGAATGTATTTTAAGGAAAAAATAAAACTAAAAATCTATCATGCTATTTAGGCTTTTTACGAACCAACTAGTTCATTCAGCAAATATTTACTAAGCATCTACTGTATCCAGGCACTGTTCTAGACACCAGAGATACATCAGTAAACCAAAAACATGGCCCTTGCCCTCAAGTAAGCTCACAATCTAGCTGGAAAAGACTGACAAGAAATCAATACACTAAATAATATGCCATACACTGTAGGGCAGTTGTTAGTGCTTGAGCAGGGTGAGGACCAGCAGTGCAAAGGGACAGAGTGATAGTGGCTACTATCTTATATAGCGAGATGAGAACAGGCTTTTCTGATAAAGTGACATTTGAGAAGCAACACAAACCAAAAAGCAGCAGCAAGCCACGCATAAAGACAGTAACAACAACAACAGATACAGTGGTAGGAAAAGCAGTTTACCTTAAAGGATATTAAATTACTAAATTATTTTTAAAAGTATTTGATCTACAGGGATCATCTTCCATTCAAATAAAGTCATTATCAACATCAAAACAGCAGGAAATGGAGTATATGGATATATTCCCTAGCAAACTGGGTAAATACTCTTATATTTTTGTTTTAATCCACTGAATTTAGGAAACAAGGGTAACTAAACAATGATTCTAAAGCTACCCTGACGGTAATTTTAAAAATTGCTATAGGCCCGGTGACGTGGCTGACGTCTGTAATCCAGGCACTGTGGGAGACCAAGGCGGGCGGATCACATGAGGTCAGGAGTTTGAGACCAGCCTGGCCAACGTGGCAAAACTCTGTACCTAATAAAAATAAACAAATTAGCTGGGCATGGTGACACACGCCTGTAATCCCAGCTACTAGGGAGGCTGAGGCAGAAGAATTGCTTGAACCTGGCAGACAGAGGTTGCAGTGAGCCAAGATTGTGCCATTGCACTCCAACCTGGGCAACAGAGCAAGACTCAATCTAAAAAAAAAAAAAAAATTGCATATAAACCACTGGAATATATATAAACATTACAACTAACAATAGACATGATAATCCAATTAGTAGGTACCATGGTTTTATATGTATAAGAATATAAAAATAATTGATTTTGAATATAATCTTGAAAATCTTAAGGGATGATTTCATATAAATTCTTAAACATCTCTCACATTTTTACAATTTAAGAAACTAATACTTTTAAAAAGTTAACACTGTTTATAATGATGGCAGGTAATCTATATATCAATTTACTTATAGCAAGTAATTCCTGCAGTTAAGTATTTTTATTAAATACCTATTTACCGTAAGAGTAATATATATTCACACAAATTATTAATCTGAAAACCTACTAAACAAGCACTATTATTTATACTTTAATCAAAGAACAGGTAAATGTACAATTTAGAAATAAGTGACTATGAGGGTTAAGCACTCAAATACACCTGTAATGACAACCAGAGCAAATGCAAGAGTAAGGAGAGGTGGAATGGCTTGCTGTGATAAAATCATTACCAATTCTATGTATCATAAAGGGGATGGATACTTCATAAATTACCCCTTGGTATAACCTTACTCAAATTCCTTTAAAATTTCCTTATCAAAACCATATAAACCAAGATAACATTCTGTCTCCCAGCATTATTCTCAGTTTACCATACTACAGTGGAAGCTCACTATAACTTACTCCACTATAGGCTAGATTAACAGCACAATTACACCTGTGAATCTTTTTTTAAAACTTTTGGAAACAGATCACTCGAGATAATTGAAGAGTTCCAAGAACTGCTATTTCCAACCATGGATACTTAATTCCCAAATTATTTTCCACTATGAAAAATATAACATTATCAAGGGAAAAGGTGAAGAGAGGCCAAATCAATGATTTACGCCTACTCAGCACAATTATTTGGGAATATTATCATAGATAAAAAATTTTGAGTCGCTGCAATTACCTTCTGTTAAGTGGTAGTTACTCTGGTAGAGTGTCCAGTCTTTCTACCATTCCAGGGGACTCTTGGAAAAAGGGCTGTGGAGAAGCAGAATTAGAGTCCTCCCCAGTATTCATCTGAATTTGTTAAGACCTCTTGTTCACAGACCTATAACTCAGTGGTTTCAACTGTCGGTCCATCACAGATGGTGTGTCATAATGGAAAGAATATAGGTTTTGGATTCTGATACAGGATCAAAGCCTGTCTCAGCCTCTTGCTATTGTGTGATCTTGGGCAAGTTATTTAGTCTTTTTCAGACTCAGTTTTCTCAGATATGAAATAATACACACTTATGAAGGTAGCTGTAAAGACCAGAAATAATGTATTTAAGGCACTGAAGACAGGGCCTGAAACATAGGCTCTCAATAAATGCCATTATGAATAGTAAGATCTACAAAGCAAAATCCAGTATTGAAGCTGTAATTCAGAGTATGTTTTCATCAATTAAAATGTCTTATGAAAGGGTTAAAGTTAAAATAATTACAATAGTTTATTACCATCAAGTTCACAAAAGTGATCCCGTGAATCATCGTATCTTGCCCAGTCAATGAAAGCTTCTTTGCTTTGATTACTATGGGAAGGAGAAATAAAAAAGAAAAACTATTAAATTTGGAGTTGAAAATGTTAACACTGTATTCTAGTGTAATTAAAATAGGTAATTTGAGGTCAGTTAAAGATTAGGTGATGTCACATTCTGTTATTACATGAAGGAATGACAAAAAACAAGTTATATAAAAATACATATATTAATTTCCTTGGTTAATTCATATTTCTTAACTACATTGAATTAGGACTAGTTCAAAAATAATTTTGACTAGAAAATAACTTACAAATAAATATCACATGTAGTTAAACACAAAACTCAAGCTAAACTTTTCAATTCACTTAAAAATTATGTTAAGTATATTTTTTTACTGAAGTAGAAATTAAATATACTTTCAGAATTCTTTTAATTTAAATTACTTTTATACTTACAAGATCTAAAATACTAAGAACTGTATTTCTATAATCTCCCCTGCAATGTGGTATTCACAGGTTACATGAATGCCACTTTTATCATGGGTATCATTCCTTTTACATCCTACTTCACATTTAACAAAATCTATGATCAAGATTTCTAACTTGAAGAACTGATAAGGAACAACTACATTTATTGAAATCAACTTTGATCTACGTTAACTTAAACCTATATTCAGGCCTTCCCTGTATAGAATACTCATGATGGCAGGATCTATTCGAGAGGTATAATTTTGCTACCCTCTTTATTCATAACACAAAAGGAAAAAACAAGGTACAAAACAACTGTATAAATCAGGTATATAAAGGTAAGAATCAGGTAATTTCTAAATGTGGTACCTGTCATAATCGTGAATTTGTTTCGTAATTGAGAAACCGCTACAAAGAAGTACATAAGCTTGGCTGAACGACATCAACTATATCAATACATTTTTCCAGTTTAACTTACTATGTTATTTTTTCCTTATTGGAGTATATAATAAAAGTTAATGAAAAAATTGTACCATAGTTAACTCAACTGAAATACGTGATGCTGTAAACAATGCCTAATTACAGCTAAAATGACGTAACTAAAGTTGTGTTTACTAAGATAGAATCTACGTTGAAAACAGTGAAGAACAAATCAATAGTGACATAAATTCCTATTTTCTCGTTAACAGTATGACTGACTTTCAGGAACTTTCTTCTTTGAGCATCCTTATTTGAGGAGACACATTCTCATTTAAAACTTTGCTGATTATTTCACCTAAGCCCTGCCTAAAACCACGGTGAAGTCACGCCTAAGTCACAAAAAACACTGACTGTGCATCTAATGCGAATAAAGCTGGCTCAGTTTGATTTATAAATGAGTTAGAAGGGGCCTTAGAGGTCATCCAGTTCAGCTCTTCCAAAAGTCAGTTTGAAGATGGATGCAACACTCTTTGCATGAGAGTTTCTTGGGCTTAACTCAGCACTTCCTTTCAAGATAGTGTCCCGAGGTTATAGCAGTAGTTTCAAACTGGGAAGTGAGGAGCATAAAAGATGGAATAAGGAATGAGAAACTTTCTGGGTGTGATAAGTTTTTTTTTTTTTTTTTTTTTTTTTTTTGAGACAGGGTCTCACTGCATCCAGACTGGAGTGCAGTGATGTCATAGATCACGGTAGCCTTAACCTTCTGGGCTCAAGTGATCCTCCCATCTTTAGCTGCCCATGTAGCTCGGATTACATACACACGCCACCACATCCAGCTAATTTTTTTATTTCTATTTTTTGTAAATATGGGGTCTCACTATGTTGCCCAGGCTGGTCTCAAACTCCTGGGCTCAAGTGATCTACCTGTCTTGGCCTCCCAAAGTGCTGGGATTACAGGTGTGAGTCACCATGCCCAGTCTCTCTCTCTCTCTCTCTCTACACAGATATATATGCATACACACACACGCAGGGGTGTGTGTGTATTTTTTTTTTTTTCTGAGACACAATTTCACTCTGTCACCCAGACTGGAGTGCAGTGGCACGATCCTGGCTCACTGCAACCTCTGTCTCCTGGGCTCAAGTGATTTTTCTGCTTCAGCCTCCTGAGTAGCTGAGATTACAGGCACCCACCACCATGCCTGGCTAATTTTTTTTTAGTAAAGACAGGGCTTCACCATGTTGGCCAGGCTGGTCTCGAACACCTGGCCTCACGAGATCCCCCTTCCTCAGACTCCCAAAGTGCTGGGATTACAGGCATGAGCCACCGCACCCAGCCTATGGTGTCTTAATTGTGATGACGTTATATGGCTGGACACATGTCAAAATCAAACTGTATACTTTATGTGCAGTGTATTATATTTTATTAAACCTCAAAATAAAGCTGTCTAAAGATTATAGTACCAATTGCTGGAGAAGTTGTAGAACAAGTAACTGATACACTGCTAGTAGCAATATAATTTGGTGGAAATTTTGGAAAATGATTTGGCAGTACCTAATGCCATTCCTAGGTATATTCTCCATGGAAATGTACACATGTACCTACCAAATTTTATTTATTTATTTATTTACAGATAGGGTCTCTGCCACTCAGGCTGTAGTAAAGTGGCACAATCATAGCTCACTGCAGTCTCAAACTCATGACCTCAAGTGATCCTCCTGCCTCAGCCTCTCGAGTAGCTGGGACCATAGGCACATGCCAGGCTAATTTTTTGAAATTTTTTGTAGAGACAGGATCTGACTTTGTTGTCCAGGCTGGTCTTGAACACGCAGCTTTACATAATCCTCCTGCCTTGCCCTCCCAAAGCACTGGGATTACAGGCATGAGCCACCATGTCCAGCTCTATCCACCAAAAAATTTTTGAAATGGCCCGAAAGTATAATCTATCAACAGCAGAATGGAAAATGGAAACATGGCACATTCTTGCTATAGAATACTATATGCTAATAAAAAAAAGAACTAAACGTTACTATGCCCAAAAACATGAATGAGTCTCAGATACATGTTAACAAAAAGAAGCCAGATACAAAAGAATATGTTCTATATCATTCTATTTATAAATAATTAAAACCAATCTCAGTCAGTATCTCAAAATCATGGTTAACTTTGGAAGATGATAATGACTAGAAAGTACACATGTTAATCTTCTGGGCAGCAAGTATACTGCTCTGGGTGGTGGCTATAGAGTTGGGTTCACTTTGTGAAGTTAAATTGACCTTTACGCTTAAGAATTTTATACTCTACTGTATGTGTATTATACTTAAATTTTTTAGGTTTAAAAAATAATTTCTGTTCAACAAAAAACTATAAGCAAAATTATAAGACAAGTCCTAACAACCAATACAGCCAACAAAGGATTATCACATTACATAAAGAATGCTTACAAATCCGTAATAATTTTAAAAGCCAACCCAATGGAGAAAAAAATGACAAAGAATATAAACTGGCAATTTACCCCAATATCTTGTAATGACTTAAGCCTAGTCCCTAGATCATTCCTCTATTTACACTCTCTTCCTTGGTGATCTCATTCAGGTTTATGGCTGCTAAATACCATCTATTCACTGACTGACTTTCAGACCTTTCCCCTAATTCAGACTTGTGTATCCAACTGCCTACCTGAAATCTCCAAGTGGATGTCTCACAGGCAGCTCAAACTTAACAAATCCAAATTTGACTATAACTTTGTATCAAACTTGCTCCTCCTGTAGGTGTCCACAGGTCAGTAAATGGCAACTCCATTTTTATAATTCCAAATCTTGTAGTCATCCAAAAGCTCATATCTTCTTAATACCACATACCCAATGCTGCAGCAAATCCTGTTAGCTTTATCTTCAAAATACATCCAGAACCTGACTGCTTCTCATCACTTCCAGGGCTATCACTCGGTCTAAATCACCATAATAGCTTATTTGGAGTACAATAATCACGTAACAAGGCTTCTGCAACATAACATCAGGCTCCCTCAACACATCCCCTTACTCCTCTGTTCAAAACCTCCCAGTGACTTTTTATTCTACCCAATCTAAAAGCAATACTCATTATAATTGCTTTCAAGGCTCTGTAAGATCTCTACCTGCCCCACCTCCTGCCCCATCCCTAGCATCTTTTGCCCTTGTCTTCTGTTACTTTGCCCTTGATCACTGGGCTCCAGTTACATTGGTCTTATTGTGTTTAGGTCTAGGCATGATCCTGCCAAGTGGGATTTCAACTAACATTTATATATACCTGGAATGCTCACCCCACAGGCAACCATATTATGACTCGTGCCTTCACCTTCTTCAGCAATTTGTTCAAATGTCCTATTATCACTTAGGTCTCTCTGACCACCCAATTTAAAACAGTGCCACTCTCTCACTCCTAGCCCTCTTTGATCTTCCCTGCTTTATTATTTTCCCTAGCAGTCATCATTTTACTTCTCATATATTTTATTAAGTCAATAGTTAATAACACATTATTATTACGTTATTTCCTCCAAAAAGGATCAAGCTACACAAGGGCAGAAATTTTATCAGGTACACTACTGTATCCCTAGTACCCTAGAACAGTGCTTGGCACATTGTAGACATTCATTTGTTGAATAAGAAACTCAAATGTTCAATAAATTAAAAATGCTCAAATCCACCAGTAATCACAAAGTATAAATTAAACAGAAATGAGGTACTATTTCACACTCATCAAACGTTATCAACTTTTGGCAAGGATGTAGAGAATGGTACAAGCTCTCAGCACTGGGGTCAGTACATACTCATACCAAGTACTATGGAATGTCATCAGGCAGTATCAACAATGGGTACAAAAAGACAATCCTAAGATTCACCATTTTTATTTCTAATGTAAAAAAAAAATTTGGGAATGCTCAAGGTGGCATTTTTGTAAAATTAAATAATTGAAAATAGCTAAACATCCATCAATAGGAGAATAGCTAAGTAAAATATGGTATATTTATATGATGAAAATCATTCACCAGTTAAAAGAATAAATCTGTGTTTCAACATGGACAGATCTAGAAAGCAAAATGTAATGAAAAAAGCTACAGAATGTTAAATATATCATTTATATAAAGGAAAATAAAACCATATATACAAAATAAAACTATTTTATACATATAAATACATGATAAAAACAAAAACATGGACTGGATATAGACCACCAAATTCATGACAGTAGATACCTCTACTGGATTAGGGAATAGAACGTAAGGAATTTTAAGTTTATTTGTGATGTTTCTTGTTCCTTAAAACATATGGCAGAAAATGTTAATATTTATTTATTTGGAATAGAGGCTTATTTATTTGAAATGGAGGATATATATGTGGGTGTTTCTTTTATTTTCCTATATTAAATTTTTTCTTCAATAAGATTGCTAACTTATACTGAGTCATTAGCAATTGTAGTATGTAAATACAAATCTTTTTTTTTTGCGGGGCACGGGGGTGGTAGTCTTGCTCTTATCACCAAGGCTGGAGGGCAATGGTGCAATCCCGACTGACTGCAACCTCTGCCTCCCAGGTTCAAGCAATTCTCCTGCCTCAGCCTCCCAAGTAGTTGTGATTACAGGCACCCAGCCACCATGCCCAGCTAATATTTGTATTTTTAATAGAGATGGGGTTTCACCATGTTCACCAGTCTAGTCTTGAATTCCTGACCTCAGGTGATCTGCTCACCTCAATCTCCCAAAGTGCTGGGATTACAGGTGTGAGCCACCATGCCCAGCTTATAAATGCAAATCTAATCAAAGGGAAATGTAAAGGGATTTCTGAAATGTCCCAATCCCAACTACTGATTATTCCCAACTACTGATTATGTCTAGTCATTTTACACTGCACAATTTGAGGCCATTTGTATATTATTTATGCTGATTTCTATTTAGAATAAGGAAAAATAAGCAGAAAAAAAAATCTATGAAATTGAACAGGCTAATAACTTTTACCATTCAAAATGTAACATGCAGACTGAATTACTATTTATAAAAAAATCAGGACTTCAAGTCCCTTCTTCCATAGTAATCAGGAAGAATGGATCCATAAACCCTGCTAGCTGAACAATCTTGTAAATTTCTACTATTTAAAAGATTTGCTATGGATGATATAGTCTAGAAACTTAAGGATAAATCAGCCAAGAAGAGGCAAAGCTATCACAAAATTTAGGACAAAGAATAACTTTCTTCCTTTAAAAAATATATTAGTTAAAACTTTAACGGGTACAAAAATGTTTTACCAAAATCAAGGGAATATTTTCTTAATACTACCAAAATAAAACTTGCCTTAGTGTGCTGTTAATTGCTCCCAGTTTATTAGCTTGCTCACAGTCTTCTAATTCTTTGGTATTGTTTGCCATTTTCAAGTACTGCAAAGAAGTTCATAAGTTTAGTAATAATTATTGCCTTATTCTTTATTTCAGTTTCTACTGGCAGAATAATCAATCTGTCAACAATGATATGCACTAAATATAGATCATTCCATTATAAAAATCCCTGTCATATATAAGAAATACAAATGAAAATGAGGCAGAAATTTCCACCAATTAAATATTATTTCCATCAACAGCGTATTAAAATTTAACCATTAGGCTGGCCACGGTGGCTCATGCCTGTAATCCCAGCACTTTGGGAGGCTGAGGCGGGTGGGTCACTTGAGGTCAGGAGTTCAAGATCACCCTGGTCAACATGATGAAACCCCGTCTCTACTTAAAAAATAAAAATTAGCCGGGTGTGGTGGCACGTGCCTGTAATCCCAGCTATTCGGGGGGCTGAGGCAGGAGAATTGCTGGAACCAGTGAGGTGAAGGTTGAAGTAAGCTGAGATCACACCACTGCACTCCAGCCTGTGTGACAGAGCAAGATTCTGTCTCAAAAAAATAAAAATGTAAAAATAAAATTTAACAATTAGCACTGATGTGTTTGTGATAATGTCAACTCAAAAAAAAACCCTCTTGGGAGGTAAATTTGATCATATGTACACACATACATACACACACAGACACACAGTCACAGTTAGTTCCCAAGAGGGTTTTAATATACATAAAAGATAAATACACATACGTGTGTGTGTGTGTGTGTGTGTGTGTGTGTGTGTGTATGTTTGCAAAATGCTTAAACCTTTGAACCTGCAGCCCCACTGAGAACACATCCCAAGGCAACCACTTTTTTTAAAAAAGGTACAACTGCCTTGGAAAATTATTTGGTATTATTTGTAATGTTGAGATAGACATGCCTTTGGTTCAGCAATCCTGCCTTGACATGCAGTCCTAGAAAAGCTCTTACATGTGAGCATAACAAGACAAAGGACAAAAATGCTAGTGCATTACTGTTTGAAATAGCCAAAAACTGGGAACTGAAATGTCCATTGATAGAGGAATGGCTAATATGCGTTACAGTCATACAACTGAACACAGCTAGTAAGAGGAACAAATCCACATATACCAACAGAGAAAATTTCAAAAGCATAAGACAGTAAAAACACAAACTGAAAAAAAAAAAAAGTTTTTAGCCTAAAGAAATACAAGAATATTTAAGTTACAAAATTTTTTTTTACACACAATAAATTACATATTACTTGTGGGTACACATGCAATAAAAGTACCAAATGTATTACTTGTAGATACACCTGAAATAAGAATATAAAACCACAGAAGGATACTTCAGAAAAATGGTTAGCTCAAGGGAGGGAGGAAGTAGAACGGACTGGGAAAGAGCTGGGGGGTTTCAATTGTTTTTATATGGTTTTACTTATTTCAAATCTGAAGCAAAAATAAATAGGATAAGGTAAAAACAAAAGATTACACAGGAGAGAGCAAGAAGAAAATGGAAAGGACACACAAGAAGGGGACAGAGAAAGTGTACGATGACCTTTATTATGTATGCATAGTCGTGAAAAACTAGAAATAAACAGTTATCTAAGAACATATCGATGGCAAAATAAATTATGATACTCTCATAAGAGGACAAGAACAATCATTAAAAATGAATACCTTAATACCATCTGAAAGTACTCTACTCAAAATCTCTTGGTAATTATTTACTCTATATAATTCTGAAACTGCCAGGCTGACTAGTTGAAACAAAAGACTAAAAATAGCTATGTGACAAAACACCTGCTGACTAGGGGATCCAAAGCTACAGTTACATTTAATAGTTCTTCCAGGGATTCCAAAAACAGTACTGAGCTAATTTCACAAGAATCTAGGAACGTACAACCTACCCGTGATTGATGCAAGAGTTAGGGGTTTGGAATTCCGAGGCAAAAAGTCTCCGTTCCCAACTAACCACATTACGGTGCTTTATTATACCCACTGTCAGTCAGTAAATGGTAAGTTTCATGACGTAAAGCAGAAACACTCAAGGAAGAGGCGGGACTTACCTTATTAGAATGCCCAGCTTTGATTCCAACTGGAATTTTGCTCTTAAGAAAAACAAAAATTTTTAAAGTCATCTTTGTTTTTTTAAAATTTCTTCACAAATTGTCAATCCAGTGTTCTAATTCATCAAGTATTTTGTTCTATGAGGGGCACATACACACTCACTCAAATTCTGTTTTCACACTATCTCATGTGGTAAAAGAGTTACCCCAATATACAGACTATACAGTATAGAAAATTGAATGACATACACAGTCAGAAAGCCAAAATCAGCTCTAATAACTCCTAATGCAGTATTTCTTATATTTACATAATTTAGGTTAAAAACACTGATAATCACTTCTTCTACAAACTTTGTTACCATAGAAAATAAACTTTTAAAACTTCAAAATTCTTTGTAATGTATTATGTGCAATTTTAACTTCTGCTTTAATAAAGGGTAGGCAATTTTGGATTACTAGAAGGCTTTTTTGACCCACATAATTAACCTAGAGTTTACCAATCTAATCTAGGGTTTACCAATGGGAGAACTGTGTGTAGATGGAACATTCTTTTTCACAAGGCCAGTGATTAGTGTTTGAATAAATGTATCTGAATTATTACAACTGGTTTATCAAATAGAACTTTAAACAAAAATACATAATACATACATACGTGTGTGTGTGTGTGTATGTGTGTATATATATATACATATATATATATATATATTTTTTTTTTTTTTTTGAGACAGTCTCGCTCTGTCACCCAAGCTGGAGTGCAGTGGCTCAATCTTGGCTCATTGTAACCTCTGCCTCCTGGGTTCAAGCGATTCTCCTGCCTCAGCCGCCTGAGCAGCTGGGATTATTAGAGGAGTGCGCCACCACGCCCAGCTAATTTTTGTATTTTTAGTAAAGAATGGGGTTCCACCTTGTTGCTCAGGCTGGTCTTGAACTCCTGACCTCGTGATACACCCGCCCCGGCCTCCGAAAGTGTTGGGATTACAGGCATGAGCCACCACAACCAGCCATGTATTTTATTCTTAAAGGAAACTAAATATTATAAATTTTTAAACAATTTTCCCTGTTGGAAGGACATTGGTATATATTTTTAAGGACGACAAACTAGACTAACTGATTAGGTAAGAAAAGCAAAAAGTGAAAGGAAAACAAAGCTGACAACTAATTACTGTTGAAGGAGAGGTATATAATTAATTACACTAGATAACAAAAGTCAAAGTCTAAAATGTAGCATTCTCTTGGTATTAAGTATAGGTCTTTAAAAAATGTAAATGTAACAAGGCCAAATGAAAATAATTCCAAGCCCGAAATTTCCCCAAATAAATCACTGTAAATTTGAAGTATAGGGTCCAGTAGCTTGTTTTTGTTTTGTTTTTTACCTATGAAATAAGATGCTGACTCAGTAAAGCATGAAATAAAAGACAACTGCAGATCCAATCCTAGAACAGGCTTCCGATTTTCCTTTCATTTTAGAATAAGACTGTATTTCCAGGCCGGGCACGGTGGCTCATGCCTGTAATCCCAGCACTTTGGGAGGCCGAGACGGGTGGATCATGAGGTCAAGAGATTGAGACCATCCTGGTCAACATGGTGAAACCCTGTCTCTACTAAAAATACAAAAAATTAGCTGGGCATGGTGGCGCACGCCTGTAGTCCCAGCTACTCGGGAGGCTGAGGCAGGAGAATTGCCTGAACCCAGGAGACAGAGGTTGCGGTGAGCCGAGATTGCGCCATTGCACTCCAGCCCGGGTAACAAGAGCGAAACTCCGTCTCAAAAAAAAAAAAAAAAAAAAAAAAAGACTGTATTTCCACATTCAATCACCAGTATCACGGTCTACAAGTATCTTCAAACCCATTTTGGTGTCAAGTATAGAGCTTTCAATAATCTGGTTATAAAGGAGAGAGCTGAGAGCATATGGATTTGCTGACATGTCCAAATCCATTGACATTAGCCTAAAATAGATGTTATGCTTATCTAAACGTCCAAGAGAAAACAGTCTTTGCCCTATTATTTTAATTTATTTATCATACCTCTGGACAGGGCTCCACATGACAGTCTTTTATTGAACAGTGGCCATCTTCTGTCCAGAAAGGACAAGGTCGCTTCAGATTAACCTTGAGAGAAAGAATAAATTAAAGTTAGTAAACTCATATTATAGTTACAGAATGCTGTCAAAGTGTCACTGTGCTGGGCACCAACAGTAGTGGATAAGAAGGAATGCTTCCTATCCTAGTGGCACCTATATGGCTCAGAGTTTTAAATGACTGCAATGAGCTAGATCATGCCATTGCACTCCAGCCTGGGTGACAGCGAAAGCATTTAGAACTACTTTAATGACCTCCAGCCCCCTAATGTTATCTTATTAACAAGAGTTCTCTCATGCACCCATTTATTCAACAAATAAGAACTGAGCATCCACTATGTGTCAGGCACTGGATAGGCTCTGGGGTAAAAATGGGCAGAAAAAGAACTCCCCTCTCCCTCTGGAACTTAAAAATCTATTGAAGGAAACAAATTAAATATTTGCACGTTTATTACAAGTTGTGGTCAGTGCTACAAAGAAAATCCAGAGTACTATAACAGTTGTTGTGGTGGATGAAGGCCTCTGAGGCGGTAATATTTTAGGACGGAGGAAGTGTGCATTTGGATAAGGCAATAAAAAGCCTGGACAGTTGTGTGAACTAAAAAAATACCAGCTGGGCTGACGTTTAGTGTAGAAGAGGGAGGGTGGCAAAGAATGAGGATGGAGGTAAACAAGGGACAGATCATGCAGGATGTTTTAACCATAGTAAAAACTCTAGATTTTCATATCCTACACATTATAGGAAGACAGTAATTCAGTAGGACTCACAGATTGCCCATGCCAAAATCTAGGTTTGATTCCCTCTCCTCCCTTTTCTTGTTCCCCATCAAACAATTCATTTTCCACTTTTCACCACCTACCTCTTGCCTCTACTATCACAATAGTCTCCCTGCTCCTACTTCTATTTCCATACAGCAACTACCGTTATCGATTTAAAACAGATCATATCATATCAATCCTTCCTCAAAAACCTTCCCGTGGCTTCCCGTCACTTCTTAGAGTATATAAACTCTGCAGCAAGTTCCACAATGCCGTCCATAACATGGCCTCTGGCCTACCTCTCTGACCTCTTCTATCATGCTCCTCTGGCCACACTGGCCTTGCTGGGAACATACCACGCTCCCTATGCCTCAAGGTCTTTATCTTGTTTTTCTTTGAGACAGAGTCTTGCTCTGTCACCCAGGCTGGAGTGCGGTGGCACGATCCTGGCTCACTGCAGCCTCAAACTCCTGGGCTCAAGCGATCTTCCTACCTCAGTCTCCCAAGTAGCTGGGACCACAGATGTACCATCATGCCTGGCTAATTTTTAAGTAGAGATGAGGTCTCCTGTTTCCCAGGTTGGCCTGGAATTCCTGGGCTCAAACGATCCACCCACCTCCGACTCCCAAAGTGTTCAGAGTACAGGTGTGAGCCACCATCTCGGCCTCAAGGTCTTTGTACCGGCTGTCCTCTCTGCCTGTATTACCGTTACTACAGATCTTATGTCTGCTCACTCTTTCACCTCATTCAAGCCTCTCAGCAGAGAGACCATTCCTGACCAGGCTTGCTAAAGCAGTGCTCAGTATGCAACCTTTACCCCAACGTGCTATTTTATATTATTTTATGGCACTTATCACTAACTGTTATCTGCTTATTTATTGTCTGTACCTCCCACCAGCATGAGGATCAGAATTTTGCATTATCTTAGTGCTTAGAACAGTGCATAAAATACATAGTAGACACCTAATTAATATGGTTAAGTAAACAATATCTATATTACAGAAAAGAAGGCAAAGATAGGTAGACTAGCCACACAGAGGAGAGGGTGATCAACTCTGACTTTTGGTAATATGCAAAATGGGTATGACTAGAAGTGTTTGCGAGAGATTTATAGGCAGCAGGGCAGGATGTGCATAGACAAAGAACCTTAAAACGGCATGGCACATTTGGGGACTGCAAGTTCTCAGCCTGGACACCTCCCTTGAGCTTCTGGCCTGTATATCCACCTGCTTCCTGGATTATCTCTTCCTGGACAGGGCATTCATAGTTACCTCAAAATTAACATATCCAAAACTGCACCCCTCCTTCCAGTGATTCTCACCATCTGGGTAAACAGCAACTCCATTATTCTAGTTCCTCAAGCTAAAATCTTGGCAGCTTTTCCAGTAATCCCTGAGGCTCTGGCCTCTGACAAGCTAGAATCTAGGAACCTATGTAGCAAATAAAGAATAAACCTCCTTGAGCCTACACAGAAGGAAGAGCACTCTGTGTGCCTTCTTCCCCGGCTTACTTCAGGCAATCATGCCGGCTACACACACTCTCCTTGGAAAGAGGCTGGAGGCCTCGGCCAGTAAGAACAGGAGGAACAGCACTCTCTGTGCTTTCTTCCCTGGTTTGCTCCTGAGCTGTTTCTCCAATTTCTCTTTAGAAGGAGGCAGTGGGACCTCTCCGTGACTAGAAAGAGAAGGGGATATTCCCAGTGTCTTCTCCTCTAGCTTGCTTCAGGGAACTCCAGACCAAAAGGTTAACCCTACAATGTATGTACATCTGAGACTTCTTGCTTGAACAGGAGAGTGAGCACTCTCTGTACCTCCTTTCCTGGCTTGCTCCAGACACAGTCCCAGCCCTGAAATCTCTCCCTGGAAAGAGGTTGGAGGCCTCTGCCAGCACGAATAGAAACAGCACTTCTCATGCCTGCTGCCTCCATGTGCTCTAGAGATAAAATCCTACAATCTCTCTCTCTTTTTTTCATTATTATACTTTAAATTTGGGGGCAGCTATCCATATGTCAGGCAAAATAGACTCTAAGTTGTAAAAAGAGACAAAGATCATTACAAATGATGAAGGGGTCAATTTATCAAGAAGTTACAAACACTAAATATGCATGCACCCAACTTCAGAAAATGTAAATATATAAAGCAAATATTAATAGCTCTGAAGAGATAGACTGCAATACAATAAGACTTCAATATTCCACTTTCAACATTAGATTATCTAGACAGAAAAAAAAAATGAAGAAACACTGGACTTAAACTACACTTTAGCCCAAATGGCCCTACCAGATATTTATAGAATATTCCATATAACAGTAACAGAATATACATTCATCTCAGTGCATATGGAACATTCTCCAGGATAGATATGTTAGGCCACAAAACAAGTCTTAACAAATTTAAGAACACTGAAATCATACTAAGTATCTTTTCTGATCACAATAACACGAAACTAGAAATCAGTAATCAATGAAACCAAAGGTTTTTTTTAAAAAGATCAAACAGACAAAGCTTTAGCAAGACTAACAAAGAGAATATGCAAACAAAATCAGAATTAAAGAGGAGACATTACAACTAATATCAAAGAAAAAGTCTACTGCTCACCACAACTATATTCTAATAAATTGCATAACCTAGAAGACATGAATAAATTCCAAAAACACGCAGGCTGCCAAAGCTTGAGTAAGTAAATGAAAATCTGAATAGGCCAATAATAATTAAGGAGATTGAGTCAATAAAAAGTACTTATCAAAGACAGACCAGTAAACCCAGCACTTTGGCAGGAAAAGGCAGGTAGATCACCTGAGTCAGGTCAGGAGTTTGAGACCAGCCTGGACAATACGGCAAAACCCTGTTCTCTACTAAAAATACAAAAATTAACTGAGTGTGGTGGCGCAGGCCTGTAATCCCAGCTACTCAGGAGGCTGAGGCAGGAGCATCACCTGAACCCGGGAGACAGAGGCTGCAATGAGCCAAGGAGGCACCACTGTACTCCAGCCCAGAACAAGACTCTGGAGGGGTGAGGGGGGGCGGGGAAGAAGACAGGATCTCATGGCTTCACTGCTGAATTCTACCAAACATAAATACCAGTCCTTAAACTTTTCAAAAAAAATTAAAGAGAAGGTAATACTTCCAAACTCATTTTAAAAAGCCAGCATTTACCCTGATATTGGACCCAGACAAGGACAATACAAAAAAAGGAAACTACAGGCCAATATCCCTGATGAACAAAAATGCAAAAATTCTCAATAAAATATTAGTGAACCAAATCCACCAGCATATTAAAAAGATCATTTCCCACCATCAAGGGAGATTTATCCCAGAGATATAAGGATAGTTCAACATACATAAGGCAATAAAAATGATACACATTAATAAAATTAAAGACAAAAACCACATGGTTATTTTGATAGATGCATAAAAAGCATATGACAAAATTCAACATCCATTCATGATTTAAAAAAAAAAAATTCCCCCAAAAATAAGGTATAGAGGAAATGTACCCACCATAATAAAGGTCACATATGACAAACCCACAACTAACATCATACTCAATAGTGAAAAATGAAAAGGTTTTCCTCTAAGATTAGAAACAAGACAAGAATGCTCATTCTCGCCACTTTTATTCAACACAGTACTGGAAGTTCTAGTCAGAGTAATAAGGCAAGAAAAATAAATAAAAGACATCCATATAGAAAAAGAAATGACAATGTCTATTTGCTGATGACATGAACTCAGAGAGAAAACTTTAAAGACTCTACCAAAAAATGTAGTAATAAACTGGTCATAAACAAATTCTACAAAGTTGTGGGTTATAATGTCAACATACCAAAGTCCATAGCATTTCTGTACACTAAAAATGAACAATCAAAAAACATTGAGAAAACAATCATATATAAAATAACATCAAGAAATAAAATAGTTGTAACTTTAACCAAGGAGGTGAAAGATCTACACACTAAAAACTAAAACACTAATGAAAGAAACTGAAGACACAAATAAGTGGAAAGATATCCCATATTCACTGATTGGAAGAATTAAATGGTTAAAATGTCCATACTACCCAAAGTGATCTACAGACTCAATGCAATTCCTGTCTAAATTCTTATATCATTTCTTTACAGATATATAAAAAACAATCCAGCCAGGCACAGCAGCTCACATCTGTAATCCCAGCACTTTAGGAAGCAGAGGTAGGAGGATCAGTTGAGGTCAGTACAAAGTTTTCAAGGTTACAGTGAGCTATGATTATGCCACTGCACTCCAGCCCAGGCAATAG